TGCCTCACCTGTGATCTCAGCTGCTGGGCTAGCCACCCCCTGGACTTCACTGCTGCCAGGGACAGGGGTGGGGGTGGTCAATTGGGGACTACTTGGACGTGAGGCTTCCTGGAGCTGGGCTAGGGCAGGCTTGGGCAGAGGTGGAGGGGTAGAAACAGCAGGTGGACTCTGGAGCAGATCCTCAGGTGGTGGCACAGGCACAGCCACAGGTGGTGAGCTCCATGCCTCCTTGTTCACCAGCAGCACCTCGATGGGGCCACTCACACTCTTTAGGTGAATCTGGTACTTTTTTTGCCCATTGAGACCCTGGAGATGTGTGGGAAGGGATGGGGGACAGGTAAAGTTGGAAGCGGGCTTGGCTCCTGCCTGACCCCAAGTCAGGGCCACAGTGTCCTCTCCCATCCAGGCTGCCCATCCTCCTAGATAACCCCAAACCCCGGGGCTCCCCCTACCTGCCCCACCCCTGACTTATCAGGCTCCACAGCCAGCACCCGCCCTCAATCGACCCCGCCTGCCTGGGCTGAGCACCCACCTCTGGGATGGGCACCTCCAGGCTGGTGCCTGAAGGGGCTCGGATGGCCAGAAGAGTGTCTCCTAGAAAGAAAAAGAGAATGGGTCAGGGCCTATGGGCTCAATTTGAGCTGGGAATGGAAGTGCCTGCCCCTTGGAGAATAACAGGAGATCATGGTCTCTGAGGGACTAGACAGTAGGCTTCACCTATCCCCCACAGTGGCTGGGGCAGAGCTAAAACTTTTCTCTCCTGGAGAGCCCAGGGTCAGTAACTAGGAAATTTGGGTTCAAACATGTGGAGCTGGCCATGGGCACCTCACTCCTCCATTGATGGTGCTGATCCGTTAGTACAGGTGTTCTGGCCAAGGCCAATGTCACCCTCCCAGGACCAAGATGGAGAAAGAACAGCTCCTGAATCCACAATGCAACTAAAGTAACTACCAGTTAGAAAAGGGCACCACTGTCCCCTGCATACAAGCATGGGAGAGCATGCACACAAACACACAAATGCACATATTCTCTCCCCCTTCCCCCTTGTGCCTCTATCATGCCCAAGAAGCCAAACTCAAGGGACAGTGCAGATAGGGGCAAACCCAGGGACCCACCCCACAATTCTTGTACCCTGTCAGTATAGTTGGCCTCCACAAGGTCCCAGTGACCCTCAAACCAAGGACTTACCCTGCCTTTTTCCTCTTTGGGGGAACCCATTACATATTGGCAGACCCCAGAACCCTCTTAAGTGATGGAACTCTCCTTGGCACTCAGTCCAACACTCAGGACTGTAGCTCAGCCCAGCCCACCACATCTCCCCCTACCCAGGCTCTGCTCACCAGCAAAGCATCTGCAGATGTCCTCATGAGTCACGTAGGCCAAGGTGTGGGGGTTAAGGAGAATGGCTGATGCCCCGCCTATGGTGACAGATGGCAGACCACAGAGAAGACCTGACTCCTTAGCAGAGTTCTGACACACAAGCCCTCTGAGAAAGTTCTGGGGCCTGAGGTCCACACGGGAAGGGATCACAGGCCAAGAATAGAGAGGGAGGGGCTCTGAGGAGGAAACCTGAGGCTGGGACCTGGCCAGGGGCTGCAGGACCATCCTCCCAAGACGCACAGGGCCCAGGGTACCACAGAGCAAACCCAGCTGGACCAGAGGGCCCCCTGCCCACTCCCTTGGAGCAGGGACCGCTAGGAGGATATCAGCTGTTCTGCACGTCCTCTGTGACGTTCCGGATGCTCTGCTGCACCCACACCTTGTGCTGGTCCAGTTCTTGCTCCCGCTGCTGCAGCTCCTCGATCTCTGCCTTGAGCTCAATCAGCTTGTCGGCAATCTCCCGGGTATTGCAGCCAGGCCCCACGCCCCTGAGTCCAGGGAGTGAAGCTGAGAGGGACTGCAGGGAACTCTGGATCCCATGGCCCCTGCTCTCTCCTGTATCCTCCACCCCACACCCCTGACACTTCTGGGTAGGAGACCCTATTGCTCTCCCAGATATCCCCACTCACTTCCACTGGATGCTGTTCTTGGATTTTTTCTCTATCAGTCCAATACCTTCCAACACGTTGGTAATGTCGTAAATCCGCCGCTTCTGGCGCACAGCGAGGGTGTCAGCTGCCTGGCAGACAGAACAGAGTGGAGAATGCTCAGCGCCACTCTTAGGTGTACCCCCGGCTATCTTGAGACTTGGCTTGGGGTGGTCTGGGAAGTGGGTAGCCTGGATCCCAACCCTGTACTGACTCCCAGGCACGACAGTAGCTCAGGACTGCGGGGTGGGAAGAGACCTGGCACAGCCCTGAACTGGTGTTGATGCTTTTCTCCCCACGCCAGCCATGGACGGCCACGAGGACCAGCACCTGCAGCCCTAAGCCTGCCACACAGCTTACACTCAGTGGCCTCGGCCGAATGAATGAAATAGCCCCGACCTCTCCTGTGAGAAAGCTCACGGATGGCGGCCTGCTCTCGGGAACCCAGCGGGGCTGCCCCGGGGGTACTCAGCGGGGCCGCCCCGGGGGTTCCCGCTACCGGCCCTGGCCTGGTCTACCATCCCCCCTGTCGCTATTTAGCCCAGGCCGCACCAGCTTGAGGTCAAGCACACCGTCCTTGGCCTCCTGCAGAAGCGACACGAACTTAGTGGTAAGAAGTCCCAGGCTCTTCTCGTGCCGGCTTGGGGTGCCTGGGGGCGGCGGCGCCTGTGGCCCGGCCTCCGCCATCGCGCCCGCCCGCCACCTCCCCTCAGCCAGGCCAGGCCAGGCCGGCGCCGCCGCCACTTCCGCTTCCGTTCCTGGCCACCCGGCCGCCGGAGCGAGCGTCGATGCTTCCGCTTCCGCCCCGCGCCCTCCCAGGGAACCTGGCAAAATTCCTGTCTGCGGGCATGGACGCAAAACTTGGGGGACCATAAGCAAATGTCCAACCGCTGAAGAAGACGAAAATAACCCGGGGATCCTGGGAGACCTGACAAGTTGGGGAGGGAAGTGCCCAGTGGGCAGCCCCGGCAGTAGAGAAGGGGAACTACTGGAACCTTCTTTGCCAACCTGCCCCAATCCCACTAACTCTACACCAGCCCCCATCTCAAGAGAGGAGACCAGACTACCTGGTAAACTCAACCTGTTCCCTCAACCCTGTTCCTAAAGGCTGCCCCACTGTCTTGGGGTTACTCGCCCCATTCCTGTCCGTGACTTCCTGCCAAACAGCAAGTACTAACTACATCTAACTTATCCTCTTCTCTCCATTCCTAGTACCTTTCCCTGGTCCCAGCCTCATCTTTCTCTCTTCTCCAAAGCACAGTGCTCAGAGGCCATGGGCCAATGCAAACGTGATTACCTATATGTAAACATAAGTAAAGCACTTAGAGCAGTCCTGGCATGTAGGAAGGATTATGTGTTTGCTAGCGTCTTTTTTTTTTTTTTTTTTTTTTTTTTGCAGCTGTCTGGTGCAGGGATGGAACCCTGGACCTTGGTGTTACCATGTTTTTTGTTTTTTTAACATTACTATTTATTATTGTTTATTTTAGGTTACTGTTTATTTAAGACTGTTCTCTGGGAAACAGTCTTTGAGACACAGAGTTCCTTGCAACAAGTTTTTTGGGGACCCACACTTGTGAGTAAAACAAGCAGAACTGGGCAGAAGTCTCAGTCTGTCCCGCTAGGAGCTCTGAAATTGGGGTAGCCCTTCTGAAGTGTTCGTGTCCAGGCAAAGGTACTGGGCCTTTGTACCCCAATATTGACTGAGAGGCTCAGCTATGACACCTCAGTAGCTTGCACTCCTGGCAGTTGGGGGAATGAGTACCTCTGTCCTGAAGGGTGGATTTGTAGGGTGCACCAAGCATCCACTACATTTACTACCCTTTAGTCCCTTCCATAGCTCCCTGAGACTCAAGACAGACCCAGCTTTGATGACACCTCTCCCACCATCGCACACCACACCCCCTCTTCACAACAGCCTGTGGTCTCTCACTCCTCTGCAGCGGTACGCACCCTCCTCCAAGGGGTCCAGCCACATGGTTTTCATATTGTTACGTTGTCTACATACATATCAGCACACTCCGCCCTCCACTCCTGGTTGAGGCCTAGTCTAGTTCACATCTGTGTCTGGCATTAAGAGGTCCTGGGTGGGCTGGTCTGTACTTGATGATCACAGGGAGTACAACCCCTCCCCTCACCCCTCAGGAAAGTGGCACCACCCCTCCCCACCCTCAGTGCAGATGCTCTTTCCTGTTGGGAATAAAGTGCCAGAAACTCAGCTTCCTTCCTTTCCTCTGTGGCCTTGGGGAAGGAGGGGCCTTGGTGGGAGAAAAGGGCTTCTGGTCCAGGAAGTGGGAGAGCATAGCTGGAGTCATCCAGGTCCTGTGAGCCAGTGGAGGACGTGCCCAGCTCTGCCCAGGGAGAGGGCCATTCTCAAGGCCAAGGACATTTGCGGAGGAGGGAGAACTGAACGCCTGGTCAATTCTGGTAAGTTCTATACTAAACTATCCTGTGCATCTCAGAGCAGGAATGGGGTACAATGGAGGCTTATGCCCACCCTGCCTTGCTTGGCACCTGCAAGGGCACAACCAAGAAACCTAGCAAGCCAAGGCCTCCCGATTGCCTGCCCCCATCACGCCCGCCTCCTTCTCATTTCCTGAGGGGACTGGGCAAGAACCTCACTCCTCCTCAGAGGGGCCTAGACAGAGGCAGCAGCTCAGACAAGCGTCCACACTGCCTGCTCCAACCCAGACCCTTGTCCCCACTCCCATCTCAGCTCTGGCTCCTCCTGGTCTGCCATGGATTCAGCAACCAAAGACAACAAAATGCAGCCATTGCTTCCCGCAGGTATGAGCCCTTCTGTGTGGGCCAGGGGAGGGATGCTGGCTATAAAGATGGGAATGGTGGGGTTGGGTCCTCCCTGTCAGGTCCGGCTGGAGCTCTGTAGGGCAGTAATAGGCGTGGGCTGCCCTGGGGCTGAGGAGTAGGAAAGGGAGCAGGTTCCACAGCCACTTCCTGCAGGCCCTCCCTGACTGACACGGCTGCCCAGGCTCTTCCTGCCCAGGGCCTGAGTGGCCAGAGCAGGAGAGGGCAGAGCAGCTGGCCCGGGGGGCGGCACTCAAGTGGGCTTCGGGCATCTTCTACCGACCAGAGCAGCTGGCCAGGCTGGGTCAGTACCGCAGCCGTGAGGTGCAGCGTACCTGCTCCCTGGAAGCACGCATCAAGGTGGGCATAGCCCGGGGGGCAGCGGTGCAAGGGGTGGGTGCAGGGCTGGCCAGGCCTCACTGGCTACCTCTCTCCATAGTCAGTGGTGCAGTCATACCTGGAAGGTGTGCAGACTGGTTTGTGGCAGCTGACCTGGGCCCTTGAGGCCATGCAGGGAATCCGTGAAGCCCTGAGCCAGGCACATGGATTGCTCCAAGGCATGGCTCAGTTCTCACAGACTCTAGAGCCCCTGAGGGAGCGGGTTGCCCAGCACAAGCAACTGCAGGCCCTGTCTCAGTTGCTGCCCCGGCTGCAAGCAGGTGAGTATGCAGGGACCCAGGACCTCAGCTTCCAACAGTCAGTCCACAAACACCCATTATTAATCAAGGAGCTGGGGCACTTGATGGGGGATTGCATGAAGGGACACACCAGGGACCAAATGGCATATAAAGCAGGGTGCAAATCAGCTCATCCTGGAGTTCCTAAGCATGGGATGTTTGAGTCAGAATGGACATCCAGTCAAGTGGCTCTGGCCACCGTGGTTGCTAATGTATTGAAATATTTCCATAACTAGGTGGGTGAATAGCCACTAGCATGGTGCCCCAGCTCCTTCTGCCTTCCCTCGAGGATCCTTGATTTGGTCATGTTCCACTGGCTCAAAGGCTGAAACCTGGCCCAACAGACATCTAGGACTTTGCCTGGATTGATTCAGATTGTTCAATACTCTACTGTACTGGTTATTAAATATTTTATACAATACCCCAGCCCCAGGGCCTCAGTATCCCCTGCTGTGGCGATTATACAGGTGGAAAGGCTGAGACCCAGGGCTGTCTCCTCTCCTCCCTCATTAGTGCCAGATGCAGTGGCCCACACACAGTCCCTGATTGATGCCCAACGGCTCTTGGAGGCATATGTGAGCCTGCGGGAGCTGGAGCAGCTGCGAGAGGAGACATGGGCACCCCTGGGGGGCCTGGAATTGTCAGTCTTCCAGGGGCTGGACCTTCTGGCTGAGGCACTGGGCCAGGCTGTGGAGGCAGCTGCAGGGGCTGCAGGGCAATTGGCACGGGAGGACCCAGCCCTGCTGGTGGCTGCTGTGCGTGTGGCAGAGGTGGAAGCTGGGCGCACAACTCCCCTGGGGCAGACATCCCGGGACTGGCGGCAGCGTTGTCTGCGGGCACTACAGGAGGGCCTGGAGCAGGTCCACTTTGGGACATCTCTGCTGCCTGGGCCAGGAGCCCTAGCAGGGTGGTTGGAGGCTCTGCGGGTGGCCCTGCCAGCTGAGTTGGCCACAGCTGAGGCACTAGTAGCACCCTGCTGCCCGCCACACTACAAAGTGGTCCGGCTATGGGCTCACACCCTGCATAGCGGCCTGCGTCACAGCCTGCAGCAACTCCTCACAGGACCTGAGCTGGGAGCTGCTGATGCTTTTGCTTTGCTGCACTGGGCACTGCATGTGTACCTGGGGTCAGTGCCCTTGGGACAGTGGGAGGTGGGTGGGTCTGAGGCTGGAGGCTCAGTGTGACACTGGGCCACCCATCTCTAGGCAGGAAATGATGGGGAGCCTGGAGTTGGGGCCTGAGGCTGATGTGTCCCAGCTGGAGCCCCTTCTGACCTCGGAGAATATCGAGCAGCTGGAGGCAACATATGTGGCCAAAGTCCAGGTGAGTTGTTGGGGCAGAGGTCCAGAGAAGCTCTGCCATCAGCTGTGGGCATTTATCTGAAGAGTCAAGTGTCTGCCTGTGTCTGGCAGTGTCAGTGCCATGCTACATCCTGCTGCCCCTTGTCCCTTTCCCCAGGCAAATGTGGCCCAGTGGCTGCAGAAGGTGCTGGATGGGGAGGTAGCTGAGTGGTGCCAGGAGCAGGAGCCCAACACAGACCCATCTGGCTTCTACCATTCACCAATGCCAGCCATTGTGCTGCAGGTGGGTGGGAAGTGGCCAGGCCAGCAGGCAGGCCCCATAGGGAAAGGGGAGGAGGGCAGGGCTAGAGGCTTTGCTGATGGCTACCCATCCCTGCCTGTAGATCCTGGACGAGAACATTCGTCTGACCAGCCTCGTCAGTGAGTCACTGCAGCGGCGGGTACATGACATGGCATTGTCAGAGCTGGGCGCATTTCTGAGGAGGTCCGCCAAGGCACTGACCTACTCCCAACCACAGCTCTGCTCCTGGGGCAACCCAAAGGGGCTCTGAGTGAATAAGACACACTAGTGGGAAGGGGCTCCTTCAAACAAGAACTTGGGTGTCTTGGAGGTGGGGCAGCAGTACCAGGGACTGGGGTTGTGGGGTGCCAGAGTAGCAACAAGTCCAGAAGCCACCTGTGCCCACTGCAGCTTCAGTGATGCTCTGATCCGATTCTCCCGAGACCACCTCAGAGGGGAAGCAACGGCCCCTCATTATGTGCCCTACCTATTGGCTGCCCTCAACCACCAATCTGCACTCAGGTACCAGAAACCCTACCTTAATTAACCCCCTATAGAGTATTACGTGTGGACCCAGCCCACAGTAGGCCACTAGGGACTTTGGACTCACATAGCTCTGGGGTTCCAATTCTAGTTCTGCTAATTACTATCTGTGTGACCTTGGACAAGTTATCTAATCTCCCTGAACCTGTCTTTTCTCATTAGTATTATGTGGGTAAAAATGGAATGTTCTAAGAATCACAGGAGACACGGTTGTGGAGTTCTACCACAGTGCCTGGCACATACTGTCAATTATCCATTCGTTCAACAAATATTTATCAAGGCTTTACTCTATGCCAGGTAATGTCTAGGGTTATAGCTGTGAACAAAACAAAAATGTCCCTTCCTGTTGGGTGTAATGTTCTTCGTGATGGGACCAAGGAGGACAAACAATTTAATGATTTTTACCCCTTCAAGACTGGGATTAGCTCCTTTCCATTACGAAAGGAAACAGAAATCTAAAGAATGACTAACTCAAGGTCACACCGCGAATTAGAGGCAGATAGCGCTGGTCTGTGTCCCTTCTAGTTCTCCCAGAAGTGCTGGGAGCCGCCCTTCTGCGCCCCATCTAACCACGCACTTGCGCCACAAGGTGGCGCTCAAGTGGCTGGACCACGCAGGGCCGTGCGGGCCTTGGCCTTGGTCCTGAATCCGTATTTGGTCGGTTCAGCTCTTCGGTGTCAGTCCTGCAGCCTGACGGGATGGTTTCAGCGGCCTTGGCTCCGGTGGAAGTCACACTGGACGAGTTGCAAAGGAGAATCTGCCGCCTGGTGTTGGAGGCGCTGCTGGTGGAGCTCCAGGTGAGACTTCCTTAGGGTCGGGATGGGAGTGGGAGGTGGAGATAGACCGTATGTGTGAGGGTCTCCGAGGGGAATGCCGGGTCTGGATCGTTTCTCCAGCCCCTTCGCCTTCCCGTCCTTCCTCAGCCCCTGTTCGCGACTCTACCCTCGCGCCAGTGGCTGTCGAGCCCTGAGCTGCTAGACGGTGTCTGCGAGCGGACGGCGCGTTTCTGCCGGGACTTCTGGCGCGTGAGGGACCCTGCCGTCCATGTGCGTTGGGGGAAAGGGTGGGGAGGGAACAGCGAGGATGGAAAAGGCCACCTGGACCCAACCTACCGCCTTCCCCCCAGCTGCTTCTGGCCGAGGCAGAGCGCACCGTGGTGCTGCAGTACCTACACGCGCTGATGCAGGGCCGCCTAGTGTGCCGCGGTGCTGATGAGCGTACCCAGGCGGCCGAGCGCTTGCGGCATGATGCCGCCCAGCTTCGGGAGCTTTTCCTCGGTTTGGTGAGACCTCGTTGGGCGGGCAGACGGGGGAAAGTCTCAGAGGTTGGGTGGGGGCCGAGGGCCGGCGCGAGACTATCCCGACGTGCTCAGGGCCTGGAGGAAAGCGCGCACTGTGCGCCGGTGCTACTCGCCCTGAGGGAACTGCTGAACCTCCGCGACCCCACGCTGCTTGGCCTCGAGGTGGCAAGCCTGCAGAAACAATTTCCCGACGTGAGGTGAGAGGACGGTGGGCGGGGAGGGAGGAGGAGCCAGGGAGGGGCAGGGCGGGGCTGACGTGCCTCCCTGATACCCCTGCAGCGAAGACCATGTCTCTGCCCTCTTGGACCTGCGCGGGGACGTGTCCCGAGAGCAGCGTCTGGTGGCACTCAGCTCCCTGCAGGTTGGCCCGCCGCCCTCGCCCCCCACGGGCCGCCGCACTCTCTTCAGCCTGGTGCCCACGCCGACGCCCGCGCTGTCCTCCTGCCTCACCTCGGGGCCCTGTGCCTGATGCCCGGCTGCCTGCAGAATAAAGCCACGGCCCCCGTACGCTCGCATCTGTGTGTGCTGGGGAAGACAGGGGAAGAAACATAACCCACGTAGGTTAGGGGTCCACGCACGGTGACCCGCCTACGGTACGATGGCTGCCGTCCTTGTGGAAGGGCTGCGCCCCACCTGTCCGAACATCGGCCCTCCACGTGGACTGCGTTCCCGAGTACCCGGGCTCCTGCTCCAGTATCCGAACTAGCTCCCACGTGTCCGCATCAGGGCAATGAACTAGCGTCTCGGTCACCCTGACTCCGACAGCCGGGTCGCACCTGAAGCCGGGAAACCCGCTTGGGTTTTATGAAGGGGGCTGCCCGAAACGACGTCCCGCCCGGAGGCGTGAGGTGGTGGCGGTCACCGCCCTTTCAGCCCTGCCAGGCCCGCCCCCAGTGCTGCGGCGCGCGCCGCCGCGAGGCTGACGAGAAACCGCGCGCCTCCGTTTCAGCGTGCGCGCTCCCGAGCATGTGCGTCATCGGCGTCGGCTCCCGCGGGCTGGGCGGCCGGCGACCCGGGTGGCACAGCAGGAACGGTGGGCTGCGAGAAGAGGAGAGAGTAGGTGGGGGTGCGGCACGCAGACGGAACCCCCGCGAAAGGCCGAGAGAAGGCGCGCGACACGACCTCTCCTAATCTACCCGAGAACCCCCACTCCATTGTCTGCTGGCCCCGCCCCCCATTGGGCACGCCCTTCGCCCTAGCCCCCGACGCTTATTGGCTGTAGGTCACGCCCCTCCTTGATCTCTTGGTCCCCATTGGCTCTTATTCCACGTTATCCTCTCCTGCGGTTTCTTATTGGTAAAGGCCACACCCTCTCATTTGTCACCAAACCCCGCCTTCAGTAGTCGAGGGTTCCTCCCCCATCCATCCTTCATTCATTCTGCATCTAGTGCTGGATGGATGTTCGGGACATGGGGGTGAATCAGATCCGTCCCTGCCCTCGGGGAGTTCAGGAGGTGGTGAGGGGACATGGACCTAGGCTCCGACAGTGACAGCCTAGGGCGGTAAAGAAGCCGCTGAGACACGGAGACCCTTTAGACGCCGGGAAGGCTTCCCACAGGAGGTGAGGCCTAAACTGAGTCCTGAAGGATTAAGAGTTTGCTCCTGGGAGAAATTGCGAGGGCGATCTCGGCGGAAGGATCAGAGACGTGAAAGAAACAGGCGAATTCTGGTAATTGCGAGGAGGTGGGTTGAATGAAAGAAGGAAGAATGGACAGGACTGGCCCAGGTAGAGGCCCGGAGGCCACTGCGGAGTCCAGGAAAGTATACAGTTAGTTGAGGGGAGTGAATCCTGAGTCCTGAAATCTTTCCAAGCAGCTGGTCTCTAAGCATGAGAGGAGGGGGGAGTGGCAAGGGAGAAGATCAGGTCTAGATGAGGAAACAAAGAGCAGGGAATGAATGATTCCAGTTCTGAGAAGGAGAATGGCTCTTGGGTTCATTTATTTATTAAGCAAATGCTCTGGGTCAGACATTGTTCTGGGTTCTCGAGACACAGCTATGAACACTGGAAAGGAGAAAACATAGCTAACCATCAAATATACCATACCTTATGGAGGAAGTCTGAGCTACTGTGTTTACAACCATGAGGATGGATGAGATAACCTAGGGAGTGAGAATAAATGGAGAAGAGGAGAGAAGTTCCCATAGACAAGTCCTGAGGCATTACAGTGTTAAGAAGTCAAGGACATAGGGATGACTAGCAAGGAAGACCAAGAAGGAACAGCCAGTGAGGTAGGAGGAGAACCTAGTTCAAGTATGTTTGGAAAGCCAAGCAGAAGAGTGGTTAACTGTGCCAAGTGCTGCCAATCAATATGAAGATCATTCGTGACCTTAATCAGATCAATTTTGAGGGAGAGTGAGGGACAAAGGCCTAATTGAAGTGAACTCAAGAGAGAACAGGAGGAAAAGGAATTGGAGACTGGGTATAGCTGACTCTTGAGGTATTGCGCTGCAACAAGGAGCAGCTGGAGGGAGATGTAGTGGGGCTGTAGCTGGAGGAGTGTGGGTTAAAGTGAGGGTTTTGTTTTGTTTTTTTAAGTTGGAGAAATAACAGCATGTGTTTATACTGATGGAAAGAATCCAGTAGAGAGGAAGAGACTGATGATGTAGGAGAGAGGAGAAATGCTGGAATTGAGTCCCTGGGGGCTGGAGCCTCCAGTCAGTCTCTGGGGAGAGGCTGGATAAGACTGAGTTCTGGCACAGTCAGGGGTGAGTGCCCCAACACTGGCCTTGGTTGACCACTGGGAAGATGCCTCAGAAAGGGGACAGACTAGGGAATGGTTTGGATTTGCTGAAGTTTCCCTCTGTTCCCCAAAAGCAGATTCTAATTTGGATTTGAACAGATGGCTCAGAGGAGAGAGGGCATTCCAGGTGGGGACTGGCATAAGGGGCACTTGGGCATTCAAACTGGCTGAGACCAAATGGGCAGGAGGATGTGGGTGGAGCCAGGTGTGGGGGGTGGGACTGAGAACATACCATACATAGAAAGCAGCCCCTGAGGCCCCTTCACCTGTCATCCATCCAGGCAGCTGAGGCTGCACTGTACCAGCTTAGACTGGTTGAGTGCTCAGCACAGAGATTAGAATCATGAGGAGGGGCTCAGTCCTTGCTCTTGGGAGCTCACAGGCTGAGGGGATTCCAGTAATCACAATCTAGGTGGGTGTATAGAACCTTTCCTCTTGCTTTCTACCAACCCAACCTACTTGGGTGAGCCTGCTGGAGGGAAGGGACTAGGGTGGGGTGGGATTGAGAGGATGGCCACCCAGACCCCTGGCAGCAGACCCTGGGTCCACAAAGGGCCCAGCAAGGGTGGTGTGGAGCACAGGGCATGCTGATCTTCTGGCCAAACCCACTCATGGTGGTCTCCACATGTCCTTCTGTGTCCTCAGAGGTCGACAGTGTGGGGAGTTGGAGTAACCCAGGTGGATGTAACCTGCAGGACAGAATGGTGCTGGACTCAGGAGCTCAGGTGTATGAGCAGGCACCCCTCAGCCCACCTGCCAGTTCCCCATCACTGCGCCATAGGCTGAAGCCCTCAGACAGAGATGGGTCACCGCTGTACCCCTGGCCTTCATCCCTGGCCTTGCCCCTGGGTATGGCAGTCCCCTCAGCACTGCGGCCCCAGCCTGAGCAGCAGCCCTTCTCAGAGCTATGCTTGGGCCACCGTGGGCACATGCGTCGTAGTGAGAGCACCTACACTGTAAATAGTACTGGCCAGCGGGGGCATGCTACCCAGGGACAGGTCCCACCTGGACGGGGACGGAACCTAGGTGGTGGCACCCTGCGGTCTGCAGCCTCCCTGCCTCACATTGCTAAGACTCGAAGGGATACAAGCCATGGTGCCAGCAAAAGCCCCTGCATGTTGGTGGCCCTGCGGCCAACCAACATGGACCGCGAGCGGGACAAGTTCTTCCAGTCCCATTACACGTACAATCCGCAGTTCGAGTACCAGGAGCCCATGCCTACAACTGTGCTGGAGAAGTACCGTGAGGCCTCTGGACAATTCATCCATCAGGTCAGTCCAGCCTGCCCACCTCACCCTGGTCCTGACTACACAAGGGGCCTGATCTGACCAGCCACTGTGGCCCTGTGTGCAGGCAGTTGGAATCATTGAGGCTGTCCTGGAGAAGTTTGGCACCTATGAACACTTTGAGGCTGCCACCGGAGGCCAGCTGCTGACCAAGTGCCAGATTTGGTCTATTGTGCGCAAATACATGCAGAAGGAGGGCTGCGTTGGGGAGGTGAGCTTGCCCTGCCTCCAAAGCCCCTCTTCTACCTGCCCCAAATCAGACTGCCTAGTGGGCGATTGCAATCCCAGCTCCACACCTTGCCAGCTGGTGACCCCAGACAAACCCCTGCCCTGTCCCAGTGAGGTGTGAACTGGCTCTGAGGAGAGGTGAAGGATGGGTGTCCTGGCCAAGTGTCTGGCCTGGCTGCCCTGTGGCTGGTGGCTGTGGCTCAGAGCATTCCATCCACAGGTTGTGGTGCAGCTGAGTGAGGACCTGCTGTCCCAGGCAGTGATGATGGTGGAGAACAGCCGACCCACATTGGCCATCAACCTGACTGGAGCGCGCCAGTATTGGCTGGAGGGCATGCTGCGGCACGAGATAGGTCAGGGTGTGGGTAGGCATGTGGGTGGGTAGGGATGAGAGGGGGCTGGGAACTGAGAGGACAGTGAGGGGCCCCAGCAGTCCCACTTTTGCTTCTCCCCCATCCCTCCAGGGGACCGGCCCTTTCCCTTCGTGAGCAGCTACTTCCTCCCTCTCACTCACAGAGGAAGGCTAGAACATGCGTGCCTGCTCGCTGAGCTCTCCCTCATTTCTTGCTCCTTTTGGGTGTCTTTTTCTCTCTCTACTTCCTCTCTGATTTCCCTTGAAAGTGGGGTCAAGGCTCCTGAGGCCCTGACAGGCCAGAGGCAGAACCCTGAGGGTCCCACCAGCCCAGCCAACACGTGGGTCCTCCAGAGTGGGTGGAAGACCAGATGTTGAATGGAATTGGCTCCCCCTCCCCTCTGGTTGAGGAGGGGACAAACCAGGCTGAGACAAACCAGAACATTAATCACTATTTATTTCTGTCTGTCCCTCTTATCAAGAATCCTGTTGCTCTGGGCAAGAGGTGGTTTTTGCTGGGGGCATTAGTGTGACTGTCAAAATGATATGGCACGTGGGATGTTGGGACGGGGTGGTGTGTGTCTCCAGGAGGGCTGGGGGCAATGTGAGTTTGGGAGTGTGTGTGCGCGCGCGTGCGCAGCCCTGGACGGGTGGGGGAGGACTCATGCGTGTGAGCTTCTATGGGTCCTGGGTTGTGCGTTTACCCAAAGAAGGTCTTCACCCTGCCTGTGATTGGTCTGGGGCGGGGGAAGAACTTGTGTGAGAGCCTGGATTTGGAGGCGTGAGGATACGAGAGTCACGGCTACAGGTCGCTAGAGGTCTGCCTGGGCCAGGCAGGTGGGTCTCCCGATGCCCCGCCCAGTGCCGCTTCGCCCTCCCGCAGGCACCCACTACCTGCGGGGCGTGAACAACGCACGACAGCCATGGCGCAGCGCCGAGGGCCGGCTGCAGTACGGGCTGCGGCCGGCCAACCCCACCGAGGAGGGCCTGGCCAGCCTGCACAGCGTGCTGTTCCGCAAGCAGCCCTTCCTGTGGCGCGCCGCCCTGCTCTACTACACCATCCACCGCGCCGCGCGCATGTCCTTCCGCCAGCTCTTCCAGGACCTGGCGCGCTATGTGCAGGACGCCGACGTGCGCTGGGAGTACTGCGTGCGTGCCAAGCGCGGCCAGACCGACACCTCGCTGCCCGGTGGGTGCTCGCGTGTGTGGGGCGAGTGCCCTGAGCTGGGGCGGGGGGCGAGGGCTAGGGCTTCGCGGCGGGGCTCACTGCCCTCCCGCGCCCGCAGGCTGCTTCAGCAAGGACCAGGTGTACCTGGATGGCATCGTGCACATTCTGCGGCACCGCCAGACCATCGATTTCCCGCTGTTGACCTCTCTGGGCAAGGTGAGGGGCTGCGGACCTTCAGAGGTCCCGCCCTGCTCTCCCCTTCAGTGCAGTATTCCCTGAGTCTCTGATTCGTGCTGGACTGAGGGCTGGGTGCCAGGCATCTCTGGTGGGAGGGTCATAGGAGGAGGGAGGTGAGCACAGGAGATGAAAGGACAGCCTGACAGCCAAAATCAGGTGCTTGACCCAGCCGGCAGGGGTGCGTAGATACTGATCTCAAAGCAGGTGAGCAGTCCGGGCTAAGAGAGGCCTGGACAAAGAGGATCAAGAAATGGCGGAGGACCAAGTCCCTGGTGCTGGGCATTTGTTCTAGGCTGCAGAACACGGACCTCATCCGAAGCAATGGGGAGTCTGGGAGGAGCTTTAAAAAGAGGAGTGGTACAGATGTTTGGAAGGCTCCCTCAGAATGTCAGATGGGAGGCGGATTGGAGAGAAGGGCCTGAGGAAGGGAGTGCAGGTGCAGGAGGAGGAGGCCTTGCCAATCACTCTTGCAGAATTGATGGTGGTCTGGCTGAAACGGGTAGTGGCCATGTGGTTGGAGAGGAAGGGACAAGCTGGAGAGCTCTGCAGAGAGTGAAATCCCTTCAACTCAGTGGCCACCCACAGTGGGAGGATGGGAGTTACGGGCCCCCTCCCTGAAATCTTATCTGGGTGACTGTGAAGTGGGTGGGCTGGCATAATACGCTGGCACCCAAGGCTTTAGTGTTGGATATGGGGGGGGTGCCTGAGAGATATCCAGTCGGAAAGTGTTCAGAAGGGTGTTCACTTGTTTACCCATGTTTGGAGGTGAGGGGAGAGTCTGTGCTGGGGAGAGTAGGGTTGTAGGTCGTAAATGACAAAAGGTGTTGAGAAACAGTGCAAAGACCCTGGACTGGGCCTAGAGGTACATAACATCGGGAGTAGATCAGGAGGAAGAGGAAGGGGGGAGGGAGGAGCTCCAGGAGCAAAGGGCAATGAGCCATCAGTAGGGAGCTGGGACCAGCTACCTGAAAGCTAAGGGGATCTGCCCACTCCTGAGGCCCAGTTTTCTCCCTGCAGGTGTCCTATGAGGATGTGGACCACCTGCGGCCCTATGGGGTGCTGGATAATACCCGGGTGCCCCACTTCATGCAGGACTTGTCACGCTACCAACAGCAGCTGGAGCACATCATGGCCACCAACCGTCTGGATGAGGCGGAGCTTGGCCGCCTACTGCCTGACTGATGTTGGTTGAGGGCTACAGGCAGAGGCCCTGGGCATATGGCTCCAGGTCGGCCCCCAGAACATGAAGCTGTCTGCTCTGTGCTTCCACAGTCTGGGTGTTTCTTAGGGGCATTGGGAAGGCAGGAGCATCCTGGGAGGAGGAGCCACAACATAAGAGGGTTTGTGTCCCTTGCTAGCCTCCTTGGGGCCTAGGGACCAGCAGCAGCATGTCAAGCAAAGTGATTTGTCCTCCTGCCTCCAGCTCTTTTTTTTTTTTTTTTTAAAAGATGACCGGTAAGGGGATCTCAGCCCTTGGCTTGGTGTTGTCAACACCACGCTCAGCCAGTGAGCAAACCAGCCATCCCTATATGGGATCCGAACCCGTGGCCTTGGTGTTATCAACACCGCACTCTACCGAGTGAGCCACGGGCTGGCCCTCCAGCTCTCTTTTGAGCAGAAGGAAGGCCTGGGGGTGAGAGGAGTGGAGGGGAGCGAGCATCGATGGAGCTGGGGGTGGTTTGGGAGCAGAAACTTGTTCTTGCATGAGATGGCTTTGGGTGTCTGGGTACTCCAGTTTCTCCCTTCTCCTACCTGGCCCCTTGGTGCTCCTTCAGCATTCATGCTGTCTACCTCTCACTGGGTCCTGGTGGGGGTTGGGATCCCTTCTCCTGGGGTGATTGCCTGAGCCTGGGTTCCTGGCTTTCACACAGGTTCAAGGGGCAGGGGTCCTGGCAGTAGAGACCCAGCTGGGCTGGGGTGTGCTTTCCATCATTTTGCCTCTCTCACTGGTCATGTATTTATTCCACATTTATGTGCTCTAATTCCTGGGGCCGGGAGGCAGCAGCTCCTGAAGGTTTAGTGAAGGGAACAGGACACTCTTTTCCTTGCCTGACCCTCATACCTATTTCTCTCTCTCTCTCTCTCTCTCTCTCTCTCACACACACACACACACACACACACACACGCTTCAGGCTTTGTGATTCGAGCCCAAGAGCTCATCTGGCCCTGCTCCCATCCCCTTCACTGGCCTCTGCTGTTTCTGTCTTTGCCTACACCCTCACAGCTGGTCTCTGGCGGAGGTTGGCATAGGCTGGGAGCAACCACACGAGCCTGAAGGGCAGGCCCCTAGGGTTTGTTGTCTTGAGCACCTCCAGGACCAGAAGAGGTGCAGAGGTGGTTGTTGCTTCCAGTTTCACTTCCAACTCAGCCGCGTTAGGTTGACCCAGTCCCACTCCTACCCTTGTTTTCCCATCCGTAAGACTCGAAAACGCAGCTAGAAAGTCCTTACTCATTTAGTCAAAGAATACATACAGAGCACCTTCTGTGTGCCAGTAACTGGCCAGAACCCTCACTGAGCTCCCAGTGCAGAGGGAAGCCAGACAATTAAAACAGCAATTACAATAATGTGTGTGGTCTCTGTCTACTCACGGTCCCTTTCTGTTCTCACTTCCCAAGGCAGGGAGCTCTAAGCCCTCCCTAAGTGGAGAAAAGCCCCCCTTCCCTCACTCTATACATCAAGCCCAGGGGTTTCCATGGAATGGGGCTGCTGCCTGCACAGCCTTCCAACTGGCTCATGAGGGGAAAAGGGGTCCTGTGGAGCAGGGCCCAAGGGTCAGGCCCTGGGTCTGGGGTCTCCAGGGGTGCAGCTTGGGCTACTGAGGGTGTGATGGGGCTGAGGACTGGGAGGTGGGGTACGGGTCTGCCCAGGTCAACTCAGAGGCACGCACCCACCTTCAGTTCCTGGGCAAATAGCCAGAATTGTGGAGAGAGCCAAGGCCCAGGCCAACCCTCTGGAGTTTATTGACTTCCAGCGGCACTGAGCCCGATGGAGCCTTGGTGGTATCTGATACAGTTCCGGCAGGATCCCAGTTCCTATCCTGCTTGGGCGGGAAACAGCCCGTCAGCGCCTTCAGGAATCTAGATGATGGGAGACAGTGGCCAGTGAGGTGGGGCCGGCCCTCCGCTTCCCAGGCCACACCCTTCCGCCAAGCCCACCAGGGTTTGCTGTGCCTCACACCTTCAGACTCCTGTGCCTCCTCGAAGTCGGGCTCGGGCTCTGGCTCCGGATCTCTTTCTGCCTCCGGCTCTGGCTCTGGCTCTCGTTCTGCCTCCGGCTCTGGTTCCGAATCCAGCTCTGGCCCAGCACTTTCAGAGGCCTCAGCTTCCAGCTCTGGCTCCTCTGGGGTCCCCGATTGCACTGCCTCAGAGCCCTCAGGACCCCCGGCCTCCTCGCGGTCTGAAGTTCTGGGCAGCCCGGGACATGTCCCCGAGCCGGGTGCCTCAGGCGTCCAGTGGCCTGGGCACGGAGGGTCGTAGCTGCGGTCCCGGTAGCCTGGGGCAAAAGTGGGAGTATCGCAGGCTCATTTAACCCTGGGCGGTTTCCTACGCACACACTCGCCTACCTCCTGGGGAGGCGACAGCTTCGTCCTCCTCTCGGCCTTTGCTCCGCCCCAAGCCACGCCCCTGATCCGACCTAGGCCCCGCCCCCCGTGCTCACCGGGGCCCACGTGCTGCCAGTCCCAAGCGAGGTCGGGCGCGCGCGTGATGTGCTGGGCGCAGCGCAGCAGCTCCTGGCAGGCGGCCTCGCCCTTGCCCTGCACCAGCAGCAGCAGGCGGCGCACCCTGCGCTCAGCATCAGGCAGTGCATCCAGCGCCTCGTATTCGTGTGCGGTGAGCACGCCCCGCGCCAGCAGCGCGTCTAGCAGCAGCCCTGAGTCCGCCTGTAGCGTCTCTACCAGGCGTTTCCGCTCGTGGTCGATCGTCTCGGACGGCCGCTCTTGCGTGTTGCCCATGGTCGGGGCTGCTTGGGGGAGGAGAGAAGTAGTCGGCGCCCGGGCTCCCGCGCCCCCGACCTCTCTCCCAGGGCCCCAGTGAACATCCGTGGCTGGGGTCTAAAGTCACCTCTATTCCAACTGCCAGACGGCTCTGCAGCACAGGACCTGGAGGCCACCGCACGAAACTCGTTGCCTTCCTGCCTCTCCGGCCACTTTTGTCCTGTCTCCTCCTCAGGCTCCTCCTCCTGTCAATAAACGTCAGCTGAGGCTCTCCTCCCCCCGCCTACGCCTTCCCAGGACTCTCATCTACTCTGACTTCTCCCCGCAACGAGGACCTCCCTCCTGAGCTCCAGCCGCCTGCAGATCCAGAGACCGGTTCAGACACAGTTTACCCAAACTAACCTTTCTCTTTCTCTAACCTGCTTCCTTCCCCACCTCAACAAGCAGAAAAACCTAGGATTGATCCGGATACCCCACACCATCTTGCAGTCAAGACCTGTCTGCTGAATATTTCTCTTGCTATTCTCACTACTAGTCGAGCCTTTTACCTCCTGCCTGTATCCTGCAAACCCCGGATCAGGGCTCCCTGCCTCCATACTCTCCCCTCCAGTCCCCTCTGCCCCCAGAGAACAAAGTGCTAAGAGCCTCCCCAGCTCCTCTCTTCTTGCCCTGACCCTGAAGACCACCTTTGCAGGACAGGCCCTGCCCCTGCACCCTTTCTCCGACACCACTACCATGATGCAACTCCAATGTGGTCTCATGGCCTTCCTGGTTTCCTGATACCTGAGCAGGGATATCTGAATTCCCTTGAGTCCTAGCCCTGACCAAGCTCTCTTGACATCACCTGAGACCCAACTATCTCCCTGCTGGCCTGAGAATGACTCACAGCCATCTCTTGCTTGATCTTGAAGTACCCAGGGGCCAGCTCATAAATGCTTGCCGAACTTTTAGTTTTTCCTCTATGGATCTCCCCATTTTGAGAGACTCTCTTCCAAACAGCAGCTATCAGGTAGAAATTAATCTGTTTTATTACCAACCAAGAACTACAGCCCATCCCTTTGTGTGGCCTGACCCAGCCAGCAAAGCCCCTAGCACTAAGATGCAAAGAGGTCAGGCCCTGGACCACTCCCTTCCTCAGCCCATTCTCCCTGTCTGGCTTGTTTCACAGAGTTCTTCCATTTGTCCTCTTCCCTTTGGTGTTCCTCCTCTGCCTCCTTCCTGGCTTTAGGAGGCTCGGCCTTTCCTGGGAGAGAGGATTTGGTCCTGCCCCACCCCCCTCCCAGGTCTCTCTCAGTACCCCGTGGTGTCACGCTATACCTCCCCGTGTCACTTCACACACACACACACACACACACACACACACACACACAGCCTTCCCCCCACCCCCTCGCTGCTGTGTGGAAGTGTCAGCCCTTCCCCCAGGGCTGGTGGTGGGGCGCTGATTCTGCCAATCTCTGTTTCCCTTCCCTCCCCCAACTGGGTGTAGTGGGGCTCCCGGTCCGGCCCATTTCGGGCGGCCCCACTCACGGGCCGAGCCTCTGCGTGGCAGGAGATGACGGTGCAGAAAGGGCCGGCGGGGTGGGGGTGGGTGCAGCAGCTGCGATGGGGGCGGGGCGGCCAGGGCTGCCGGGAATGGGGGGGGGGGCAGGCGTTCTTCCCGGGGCACTGGGAGCGGGGCAGCAGAGGCCGCGCACTGGCTAGGGACGTACACGTAGTCCGCTTTCCCTCCCCACGCCGGGCGCACCCGCAGATGAGTCAGGGAGGGGGCAGTTCGGCCCGCCACCCCACGTGTCAGCACCCACTCTGGGCCTGCCTATTCCCAGGCGCTTTCCATCTCTCTTCTCGTCGACCCCTCTCCTGCCTGTCACAGACGAGGCTCAGAGAAGGGGACTGACTTCCCAGGGTCACAGAGCGCATTCATTGTGGAGTTGGGTGGGACCCAGAAGTCCCCTCTTCCCAGAGGTTGCCGTGGTCACGAGCCAGCCCTGGATCCGGGACTGAGCAGGAGAGCTGGGCGCCAGCTCCCCAAGCACTGTCAGTCTCCAAGGCTCTTCCATTAAAGCCATAGGATCTGGACGCGTCTACGAATGCAAAATCGCCCCCCACCCATGACTCCTGTGTTCCCTGGTCGATAGAGAAAAGAGACCAGAAACAGAAAAAAATGCTGTTTATATGCGGGGCTCGTTGGGGTAGTGGAGAGAGGCCGCCGAGTAGTGGGGCTTCACTCAACCCCCCGCCAGGGGGCGCCAGGAAGCCAAGAAAGGTGTACTGCCGCGGACCGGTTCCTCTGCCAGACTGGCTTCAGAGGCGCACGTGCGGGTCTCAGGGGGAGGGACTGGTCCCCGGGCCCAAGTAAGCTCGGCTCTCAGGGGTGCTGTAAATGGTTAAGGCCCCAGGCAGGCCGAGGGCTGGGCCTCCCAAAGCCGTCTGGACATCCAGCAGGAGTGGGGCCCCGAGCGTGGGGTCTTTCCCTAGGAGGAGTGGGGCCTGTGCTCAGCAGAGAGAATCGGTTCACCCTCCTTTCTTACAAGAAGACCCCGGTAAGCCCTGCCTTCTTCTTAGTAAGGATGAAACATCCATTCTTGACCTCCCCATTCTCACCCAGTGGTCCCCTGTGGGTGGTTCAAGTAGGGCTCTGCAGGGCAGGCTGAAATCAGAGATTCCCTATAAAACATGAACTGCCCAGCCCACTTAATCATGGTAGCTCAGCCTAGTCACCACAACCATTACCTGGGCCTGGAGAATTTAATCCCTTGACTGCCAGCTCAGCGTCACCCCTCTCTGGAACTAAGGGCTGCATCTGCAAGGCAGAACCCCAGGAAGCAACTGGCAGGGAGCTGCGTAGCAGAGGAGAGCTGGGCAATCACTGGGGCAGTCCTCCTCAGACATGGCCTTGGCTCACAGAGAACCGCTCTGGACCCAAGGGTTTGATTCGGCAACCCCTAGCTTCCTGCCCTTTCCCACCTCCATCTTACCAGGGACAGCTCCATGTCCAAGTCCATCAGGGTCCATTCTCGCCCTTGGAAGCTGGGGCCCAGCACCTGAGGACAGCTCTGGATCAGTGGTACCCTCCCCAGACTGCACAGAGAGCTGGACCCCACTGATCTCATGCCCCTGCCCCAGCAGAAGGAATACTCACATCCAGGGGCCCTACAGGCTCCACACCTTCAGGGGGGTGCCGAAGCATCATTGGGGGCAGCAGATTCTCTGGGCTCCGGTCCCCCCTCTCCAGGCCCAGAGGCCCCCTGTGCACAAAGAACTGTTGTTGTCCTGCAGTGCCCACCTCCATTTAGGTTCCCAAGGAACTCAGAAGCATCAAGATTTTATTCCTCCAACATCTAGAAAATGCTAGGAGAGGACACCCTCCCCTCCCCCCCGCAAAGCGCAGGAGAGAGTGCCTCTGCTGCATACCTGCGACCTGAGGTTTACACTGTGGAGCTGGGGTCCTGGGATGTGTTCCCTCCCTATGCAAGTGTCAGTATCAGTGGTTCTTTAACTATGCCAGTAAACTCATTTAAAATGCAGATTCCGGGCTGGCCTGGCCCGTGGCTCACTCGGGATCCCATACAGGGATGGCTGGTTTGCTCACTGGGTGAGCGTGGTGCTGACAACACCAAGTCAAGGGTTAAGATCCCCTTACCGGTCATCTTTAAAAAAAATAAATAAATAAAATAAAATGCAGATTCCTGAGCCCTCCCATAGAGATGCTAAGTGACTTGACTGGGAGTTTCCACTTTCCAGAGAGTTCTGATGCTGATGCTCCTCAGAGCACACTCAGTAATCACATCAGCATCACTGATCCAAGTGCCCAACCCTCCCCCTCAGCCACCAAGGGACAGACAAGGCTGGGAAGTTTTATTGGCTGGGAAGTGCTGGCCTATCTGCAAAAGTGGCTCAGAGGCAAGAACAGGCTCTACTCACCTGTCAGGTACCTCCCTGGGGCCCCTTGGTTCAGGCTGTTGGGCATTCCTGGGCCCCTCGGGGCTGAAGCTCCCTTTCCCTTCCAGGATGGCCTGCACCACAGCCACAGGCAGCTGTGGGGGGGCTGTCACGCAGAAGTCACACTCGTTTGGGGCCAGGGCCAGCCCGGCCTCGCCATCCCCCCCTGGACTGGCCGGCTCTTCTTTGAGCAGTGCCAGGCCCTTCTCCCTGCACCGGAGAAAAGCTTCAACCAGACCCTGACACTGACCTCTCCCCCTAACCCCACAGCCAAGTGGGCTGCCAGGCCCTCCCCCGTAGGCTCCCCAAAAGGCAGCCCCTGTCCCCTTACCTCCTGCCACCATTGGAGGGAGAAAGCCTGGTCCCTTCAGGGGATGGAGAGTCTTCTGGGATGTCAGAGATGATGGGGCCCCTGGCCTTGTGAGGACTGAGGCCCAAGGCAGTCTCTGGGAGGGGCTGTAAGTAGAAGGCTAGGCCAGCCCTTGACCTCTAGCCACAGGGAGAGCTAGAACCCAACCAGCAGCCACCTGGACTAGGTCTAACAGGGGAAGTGTGAGGGCAGAGGCTCTGTCCGTGCTGGGGAGCCTGGGTCTGGTTGGATGGAAGTCTGGCCTCCATCTTCTCTTCTTTTTGGGGAATGGGGAGATGGAACAGCCTCTCCATAAGAACAGACTCTCCCTAGGAAAGGCGGGAGAAGGAAAAACCTACCGATTGGATAAAATAGGGGTCTTGCAGGAGGGCACCAGGTAGAGGGCAGGTGTTGAATTTGGCAGGTGTTGGGCATGAGCTCCCCTCATCCAGCATCAGGGATCTGTTCAGGGTGACCAGGGCATAGGCAGGGGTGGGGCAGGTTCACCCCCATGCCCCTCAGCCTGCACCTCCCTCCCTCCCTCAGGCCCCAGCAGCCAACTCAGCAGAGCTGAGGCCTGTTGCCAGGGCATCAGTCACATGCTGGAGGTGGAAGGGGCTCCCCCTAGAGATGGGGGCCCTTTGGGGGTAGAGAGGGGAGGGAGGGGCATGGCCTGAGCCCCCAGGCCCTCTCCTGTTGGGATGCTTTGGGGGGAGGAGGAAGGGGCTGCTGGGGTGGGAATTTGGGGAAAAGGTCCTGGAACAGGGGGATCTGGGAATAGGGGGTATTTGATGGTAGAAATGGGGGGAGATGTTGAAGTTCTGGATGGCATGAGGAAGCCAGTAGTGCAGGGAGAGGAATGAGCATTCCTGGTGAAAGCATTGCTGGAGGAGAAGTGATCCCTGCAAGGGGGCTCCTGGGGGGAGGGTCCTGGAAGTGGGAAAGTGAACGTGAGCATCCCTGGCTGTCTCACTCACAGCTTTCTCTTGGCTCCTGTGCTGCTGGGCCCCGCCTGAAGTGGCCCAAAGAGGCACTGGATCAGCTGAAAAGAAAGCAAAGGGTTAATTCATATTTCGACCCCGCCCCCACCCTAGCACGATGTTTCCAGGTGGGTTTGAGGAGGGTGCTTAACTCGGGCGCTGGGGGACTGGGCAGAGGGTAGGGTGTCCAGAAGTGGAAGGGAAAAGCGAGCGAGGTATGGAGAGAGGAACACCTTGCCGATGACCCGGTGCTGTTGACCATGGCTCTGCCGCAGAGTCACCACCTCCCGCCACAAGATCTCGTTCTGCCTGGGAGAAGGGGTGGGAGGGTGCTGAGGCATCTGAGAGTCCGCCTAGTCACCCCCTCCCCCAAAAAATGGCGAGGCCAGGGACCCGCACGACCACCCTTGTGCCCTCCATCCTACAGAGACCAGAGTTCCACACCTCGGCCCTCGTCTGGATGATGGCATCAAGGCCCCGGAGAAAAAGGGGCTGCCCAGAACCGCCCCCCGCCCCGTCGCCCCGCCCCCCCGCACTGCCTGAGCTCCCGCAGCCGCGCCTCGGTGCTCTCCTGCACTCCTCGCAAAGCCTGCACCTCGCCCAGCAGCCGGCCCAGGTCCTCGGGGCGCCAGCGGCCGTCGTCACTGCGCAGCGCTGGCACCTGTGGACGGGAGGCACCGTCAGGACAGGTTCGCCTAGAACCGGCCGTCCCAACCCCGCTCCTCGGTTTGCTAGTTCCTGCAGGCCGCCGCACCTTGCGCCGCACGCGCTCCAGGAGCTGCTCCCGGCCGCGCACGAAGCTCGGGTGCTGGAACTCGACGTGGTCGCGCTCTGGTCTCAACAGGCCGCCCTGCTCGATGCTCACCACCTTCCGAAAACCGTCTGGGGAGAAGGGCGCAGAGGCGTGAGTCGCCGCATCGCCAACACCAAGTCACCCACACCCACTCCTGCCAGGCCGTAGAGACTCACACATGTTGAGTTGGCGCACAAAGCTCGCCATGTTGCTGTGCTTGAAATACTGGGGCAGTACTTCCTTGGCGAAGCGGCTCTGGTCGCTTACCAGGAAACTGGTCCCGCTCTACCGAGAACGCCGCCAGCCCACCGTGCGGACGCAGACCACACACCGTGAGCGGAGTCCGCCCATGGCCAGGCCCGCGCTCCGGCGCGCACACGCACTCACACTCGCTCTGGGGTCCGGGCCTGCCGCTCATGGGGATATGGGACGAGGCCAGGCAAGGACCAGCTTTGAGGCCCAGCCTGGGCGACCATAGTGAGCCCCTACCCTCAGGCCGACCCAGACTCCGTACTCGGTTCTCAGAAAGGACGAGCAGAGGCAGCCTCGGGTTCCAGCACCGGAGGAGCCCCAGACCCAAGATGTGACCCTGACCCTGAGCCAGAGCCAGAGCCAGCCTTTCCCTTCTGGACCTTGTTTTCCGATCTGTCGCATGGGGTGGGGTGGGAACTAAATAACCCCGAAGATGCTCTAGGTCTCCAGGAGGCTCCTAACCCTTCATTGGTCCCAGAGAAAGTGACCTCAACCCCATCTCGCACACCCCCTCCAAGGCGAACTACCTTGAACGGCTGAATGGATGGACCCACAAGCCAGTCCCAGGAGGGAGTTGGGTGGGCGTGGGTGTTCACTGACTTGGAGAAACCCCGGGGACCACTGGGGGAGTTCAGGGGCCCCAGCCCTCACCGGGCTCCAGCGGATCAGGTGGTCGGTGCCTGGGTCGCCCACCAGCGCCCATAGCTTGCCGAGGAAGGCAGGCACGGGGCTGGGGCCTGGCTCCGTGGGCAGCGTGGCTGGCGCTTCCTGCATGGCGCAGTCTCGGCCCGGTTCAACGCTCTGGCCCAGCCACTGCGGGCTTGTCAAAGCCGCGGAAAGTGCTGCGTTTGCCGCCCGCCCCGCCCTACTCCGCCTCCGAGCGCCGGGTCAGGCGGGGGCCACGTGCGAACCCTCGGGGCGGGGCTCGGACAGCGGCCGAGGCGCCAGCAGACCGAAAGGGCTAGCTGGATCGATGTGTGTGGAGGGGAGGGGAGGGGTGGGAGACCTGGGTTCGAGTCCCACCCTTCCCAGTTCCTCTATTTCCTCCTTTACGGAAGAAATCGCCGATGTGTGGGCTGGGAAAGTTCTAGGAGGCGATGGCCGTGGGCACGATGAGAACCCAGGTAAGGCGGGCAGATACGACGGGGGTGGGGGGATGGGGGCGGGGAAGCTGGCGCCCCTCCTGCCGAACCCAGGGGCGTTGTCATTGCAAGGGTGTGGAGTGCCGCGCCCTTGATACCCGCAGCCGCATCAGTGCAATAGACTTTCAGGTCTCCATCCCTCCCACCTCTGCCCAGACGGCTCCTCCAGCTTCTGCGCGTTCCCCGCCCTGCCCTTTCAGAGCCGATCCCCGCGTTTCACAGGACACAGAGACACTGCAGGATTTATTTATTTCACACTCACCCGAAGCCCTGCCCGCGCCTGTACCCTTCCCCACCTACGCTGGAGCTCCCGAGCTGGTCCACAGTCCACAGGGGGTAGGAGGGGAGAGGGTGAGCCCCGTATGGCCGAGACAGAGCCGGCATCTGCGGAGGCTGAGAGTACCGAGTGGCCTCAATGCGCCCGGGACTCGTCCTGTAGCCATCCCACAGGCCCCAATCCCGGAGAGGCACAGGAGGAAACAGAATCCCGAAGGAAGGGGCTAGCCGTTGGGATGTGCCTTGACAACCCATCCCGCGTCTCAGCGGCCTCAAGTCTGCTGGGGGAGGGGTTGCCCAATCACGCCACTAGTGTGGGCCGCCAGGGGTGCGGCTCGCGCGTTAGCTTGAGCGTATAGCTGCGCAGGCGCGGGCAGTGCGCGCGGAAGGCTTCCAGCACGGAGGGTCGCACCACGCAGAAGCAGTGCACTTCGCGCAGGCCGGCGCAGCGCGCCGCCAGCTCCTCCAGCGCGGCGTCCAGCTCGGCGGAGGCGGCGGCGCGCACCTCCAGCTCGTGCAGAGAGGAGGCGTAGTGGCGCGCGGCGAAGCACAGCGGGCCTACGGTGTCGCCAGAGAGGTTAAGGCGCAGCACAGCCACAGGCACTGCTGGCTGCAGGACGCGAGTTACGCTCTCGGCAGGCAGCGCGGGCTCCAGCTCCAGCTCCACTGCCAGCCCTGGGTGGCGGCGGCGCAACGCGGCCCAGGCTTCGTCGGGTAGGGGGGACGCGCGTGCATCGTCGGGGCACGCGCATCTCAGGGCCAAGAGCGCGAAAGGCGCACGGTCTGGCACGGTCAGTGCCTCGAGGGCGGCGCACGACAAACTGGCCAGGTGCAGGCCTAGAGCTCTCAGGCGCGGGCAGGCCTCCAGTAGTTGCAGCACGGAGTCGGGCCCCACGCTGCCCACCAGTGTACGATTGTCCAGGAAGAGGCTGTGGAGCTCGGGGCAGCCACGTGCCACCTGCAGTACCAGCGAGTCGTCCAGCGTGAAGGGCAAGCGCCGCAGGTCGAGGTGGCGCAGCTTGCGGGCGGCCCCGCAGACAGCGTGCACAGCGTCCAGGACGTCGCGGCCCGCGTCGAAGAGCGGCTTCTCTCCGCGGCACTCCAGGCGCAGGCCTCGCAGCCCCGGGGCACAGCCCGCCAGCGCCATCAGCAGCTCGGTGGCCGCCCGGCGGCTCGGCTCCCTAGATGGCTCAAATTCCAGCCGTAGGTTGTGAACGTGGTCCAGGCAGGAGGACAGATAGGGTGCCAGCATGCCTTCCCGCTCACAGTCGCAACTTGGGTTAGAGCGGCGCAGAAAAGGCATTGGCAGCGTCCCCGCGACTAGGGGAGAAGCCCCTACCTACCCCCTCAGCTTGGGTTCTAGCTGCCTTCCCCACTTCCTACACCCCAACCCCCTACACCCCAACCCCCGGCCAAGCCTGTTGCCCTACGGCAGCCGCTGGCCGTAGAAGGGAACTCCCATCCTATTCGTTTAGAAGTCTTCAGTGGCGTTTGCCCCAGGTTGAAACGATATTTTAGGAACTGGGCTTTCTCAGCTGTCTCTAAGGAGGCGGGGCGTGGCCTCTGGACTGCCAGGCTCAAATTAGTCTCCTGCCACTCTCTTGCTGAGTAACCTGCGGAAGTGATTGTCTCTGTGCCTCAGTTTCCTCTCTGTCCAATGGAGCTAATAATACTGTCTGTCTACCACATAAGGTTTCTGTGAGGATTAAATGAGTTAATGTATGTGAGGCACTTAGGGCAATGGTTGGTACATAGTAGTCTGTCAATAAGTGTTAATAGGTCTTTTAATATGGGGGAATCACTAAGTCTCCCCAACCCCTGAATCCACAGAGAGAGCGAGTGGGCAGCGGGAGGGGGAGAGCCAGCTCACCTGATGCTTGTGTCGTGCCACACGGAGCTGCAGGTGGCAGCGGCGGCCCAGGCCCTGCAGACCCTGGCTGCAGCGGCACGGTCCTTCAGGGGCAGGTGGCGGAAGATGAGCGCCAGCACCTCCTCCGGTAGCTGCTCTCTGGGATCGGCCATGGCCTGGCCCTGGCTGCGTGGCTCCACCGCTCCCAGTAGCCCCGTCTTGGAGAGAGAGGGCCGTCCGTGGGCTTAGGAAAGCCAAAGTGTTGAGGAAACTCCGGAGAACGGGTGTAGAAATGCTGTAGCCCGGGAGTTGCTACGTAATTTACGGAGCCCAGTGCGAAATTAAAGTGAGGGGACCCCTGTTTACAACATTATTAAAAATTTCAAGACAAGGACAACAGAGCTTTTAATCAAGTATCAAACCAAGTGTGGGGTCCTGCCCGGCTGCATAGGTCTCAGGCGCATGAAGTCGGCCCCGGATGCCGAAGGGTTTGATTCACTTTTAAACTACTTTCTCACTTGTTGAACAAATTCACATTTTATACTCTATTAAAAGGAACGGCAGGGCTGGCCGGTTATCTCAGTTGGTTAGAGAGTGGTTCTGATAACACCAAGGTCTAGCGTTGGATCCCTGTACTGGCCACTTGCCACAAAATAAATAAACAAATAAATAAACAAATATAAATAAAAGGAACGGCAACCACGACCTAAATGGGAAGTTGCAAGTCTTCTCTGAGGAAGTTGGAGGGCCGCTGCAGAGGCCCTGGGTCGGGACATCCGCCTACTCCCCAGTTCAAAGAGCCTGCCTTCCCCTGGCTCTCTACCACACTTCAGAGCTACCCCAGTGGCCCAGACTCATCTTCTAGGGATCACTGGACTAGGCAGGAACTGGGTCTAAGGCCGGAATTTAGGGCTCCCAAACGGCGCGGGGCATCAGAATAACCCGGACGCTTGTTCACGACACAGGTTGCACGGCTCCACCTACTAAATCAGGCTCTCCGGAAAGGGTGGGGCCTACGAGTCTGCATTCCAACAAGCTCTGGGTGACTCCACAGGTTCCAAGTTGAGAAACCTCGTCCTATCCTTATTAAACCTTACAGGGTTAATAAGGCGGGAGCATCAGTGAATACTTTTAATTGTGAGGGACCAAGAGCCAATCAGGAAGCGAGACGCGGGCGGGGCACAGTTTGGATCCGCCCAGAGAGGGGAGGTTCCTTCACTGCTTTAGAGGACAGGCCCGCGGGATAGAGAAAAGCTTGGGGTTCTTGGGCCTGCAGGCTCTGGAGCCTGATGGGCTCCGGGTTCAAGTTCGAGCCCTGACTCTTGAGCAATCCTGGCTCCCGCTAGGAAATTTAGGTTCCTCACTCCGCAGACCCATCCTGGAGCGCAGCTTTTATAGGGGGCAATGGGGTTGTTGGAAAGTGTGCTAATTTTGTTTTAAGGTTTGCGTACATAACGTTTCACGCCATCTGCCAGTTAATTTTCCCATATCTTCCAGCCTAAAGATCTCTCCTGGAATTTGCGCCATGTGTTCTGGGGCTTCAGATACCCTCGGCCAGGCTTGTACCTGGGACACATCGGTGCCCTGTTTTTAGTGCTAGGCAGTAGCAGATTAGAGCTCATCAAACCAGAAAATTCTGGCCCCTAGGGGGCGACCCCTTGTTGATCCGTCCGTTCCCAGCCAGGGGAAGTCTGGCAGCTCTCAGTCTGGGGCCTCTAGGCCTTGTAAGAACTGCAAGCCCCCAAAGTCCCGTCCCGCGGGCAGTTTTTCTTGCGTTCTAACTCCGGCGTTGGTGCCTTACCTGCACAGCGGACCAGGTGGGCTTTGCCCGGAGGCAGGCGGCTGGCCGCGGAGGATAGCTGGGCGGGAAGGGGCAGCCGGGGGTTCAGGGGGCGGGACATGCGGGCGGACTGGGTGGCTCGGGCTGGGCACCGCCCCAGCGCCTCCGCGCACACCCGGAAGCAACACGAGTGGAGCGGAGCCTGGCTAGCGTGGGAACCCAGGCTCGGCCAAGGCAGCCAGGTTAGTGCGGAGAGAGGGTGGGCTCCCCGGTGCAGGCGGAGCGGAGGTGAGTCCTGGCTCCGGAGCGTGGGCGCAGCGCCTTTGTCACCCGCGGCTGCCGCGGGCAGCTGGTGGCGGCGGCCTATTGGGCTGTTTAGGTGGACGGCCGGGTGGGGGTACGGAACCTGACCCCCACAGGTTCCTTGTCCCAGCTAAGGGCCTTCGAGGGACGGCAGGGCCCTGCATTTGAGGGGCGTGGGCGGGGCTGGTTCTGAATAGTTCTATGAGCGGAGACCCCCTGCCCGCCCCAGCTGGTCCCACGTGCCAAAGCCCAGCATGAGGCTAGTGGGAGCCTGGGAAGCTCCCCTCGAGAGCTCGGGAGCGCCGCAGCTGATGAGGGAGCAAGCCCGGTTTGTCACACGGAGTCGCAGGCTGTCAGTCCTTGGGCCACGCCCGCAGGCGGTCCCCGCCCACTCAGCCAGAGGTGGGGCTGCCGCGGGGACTGTTGTGTGTTAATGGGGTGCCGTGGGGTGGTAGGGGCAGACGTTTTAGATTTGTACCCACTTGCCCCACATAGTCTCCGCCCACTAAGCGTTCTCAGGACCCAGCCGGGAAGCCTCAGCCCTTCCCAAAGAGGGGTGGGGCGCGGGGCTTCCCGGAGGAGAGGCTTCTGTGGAAGGACATCTAGGAAGGAGTTCCCAAGGGGATGATGACAGACAAGGGCCGCCGGTGCGGGGATCCGAACCCTTGGGGTTACAAGGTGGCTTCAACTAAACTAACTGGGCAGCTCCCCGCCTCTTCTACACCCTGCTAACTGACCTCTCGACCTCCAGCCCGGCAGGCTTCCCCAGTTTGTCCAGTATTAGTGGGTGTGATGGAACATGTCCAGGTTTCCAGTACCCACCTGGCAGGACTAATGGGTAGGCTCTGGCCATGTTCTGTCCCCGTATCCACTCCATGGGGTGAGACGACAGCTATGGATTCAGCACTCCCAAGACATGAAAGAGGTGAATGAAGAAACGTCTGGAAGGGAGGTTCCCACTCTCCTCTATTCCCCTAGGCCACTTTCCCAGGGCTCCCCACTTGTCTCACCTCCTTGGCTGGCTCCCTACCGCTCTTGGCTCCACTCGTCACCTGCAGTTTCACCCTGTTTTTGTTGTTGTTTTGCTTTTTAAGAAAGACAAATTTAGGGCTGAGCCCGTGGCGCACTCGGGAGAGTGCGGTGCTGGGAGCGCAGCAGCGCTCTCGCCCTGGGTTCGGATCCTATATAGGGATGGCCGGTGCGCTCACTGGCTGAGCTCGCTGGCTGAGCGCAGTGCGAACGGTCTCAAAAAGGACAAAAAAAAAAAAAAAAAAGAAAGAAAGACAAATTTATTTTGCTTTTTTAATACAAAAGAGATGTGTCTATTTTACATAAAGTAGAAAATATTGCTAAATAGGAAGAAAATTGAAATCACACAAATTCCTCCCACCCTTTACCTTCCCCCACCTGCCCAGAGATAAACACAATGCTAGTTTCCTGATAATATCCAGACTGTTGTTTGAGTAAATACACAAGTATTAGTATATTTTCTATGAAAAGATTGGGGGAACTCCAAAAGGTGTGTCTCCTATGCTCAGACCCACGGTAGGGCTATCACCAGATATCATGTCTCTTGCCAAGGTCTGGATGGTGCTGGAGGGCCCTGGCCCAGTTACTGTCTCAGCTTTGGCACTCAGGATAGGGTCTGGGGACAGATCTGAAATGCAGCCTCTCCACTGAGCTCAGGATCCCTTCTCCCTCCCCAGAAATGTCCTAGGCTGTGGTCCTGGCCCCTTCTCCCCTGAGGCTTTCTGCCCCTCATGTAAATAGATGATGGCTGAGGCTACCCCATCCATCCTGCCCAGAGCTGGGACTTACCCCTCCTAGCCTACCACATGTAAATGTGAGGGAAGAGCAGAGAGTAAAGATGGACAGGAGGCAGGGTTTTGAGCCCACATTTGTAGGAAAAGGGTGGGATGTTGCCTTGGGTGAGGTGGGGAAGAAGAGGCAGGGCAGTTCCCCACCTGCTGCCTCATGGGGCAGCAACTGGGAGGCTGCTGAGCTGCGGGTCAGTACAGTGGTTCCCTGGCTGGGAATTTTGCTCCCCCCCCCCCCAAACAGGTCTAGGGCTAAGTTTTTGTCACAAGACAGATGGGAGAGATACTGGTAACAAGGGGCCCTGGTTCTGTATGGAAAGGGAAGGAATCTAATAGAACAATGTGAATTAGATAAGACATGAGCCCAACTCTGTAAAGGTCTTTATACAAAAAGGAATAATTATGCTCACATAACGGAAATGTACAGGGTGCAGTGGTTTCAGGGACAGCTGGATGGCTGGGAATTTTGCCCCCCCCCCCCCAAACAGGTCTAGGGCTAAGTTTTTGTCACAAGACAGATGGGAGAGATACTGGTAACAAGGGGCCCTGGTTCTGTATGGAAAGGGAAGGAATCTAATAGAACAATGTGAATTAGATAAGACATGAGCCCAACTCTGTAAAGGTCTTTATACAAAAAGGAATAATTATGCTCACATAACGGAAATGTACAGGGTGCAGTGGTTTCAGGGACAGCTGGATCTAGGGGCATTAGTGTGGTGAGGAGTGCACCTCTCCATCCCTTGTCTCTGTTTCCTTCTGTGTTGGTTTCATTCTCATCTAGGTCCCAAGCAATGGCAAAGGAGATTTACCCCTTCCCTCCAGTTCGGCCCCAAGGTATGGGAAATTAGTTCCTCTTTCCTTTTGGTCCAGCTTAGAGTTGCAGGGTTGATTCTGATTGGGCCAATTTGAGTCTTATACCCAGCTCTGAACTAACCATTGCAGAAGGGTGAATGGAATATGCAGATTGGCCAGGCCTGGTTCACATGCCCAGACCTGGAGCTAGGGAGTGGGATTAGCCCTCCCAACAGGCACATGGATTGAAGAGGGAGGAGGAATTCTGGGTAGATGCAAACTGTCGGTGTCTTTTGAAGTGAAGCCAAGAGGTTTAGTGGGAATGCAGGTGAGAGAACCTAAGAGTGGGGCTGTAGTCCCACAGGGATCCTGGGGGATCAAGTTTAAACTGAAGGCAAGGCCAAGACATAGATCTGGTTGGCTTTGGGGATGGGCACCATCCAGAATGAAGATGTCTCCTGTCAGCTTTAGTAAGACACACTGGCCTGAGGAGTGCACAGAACTTCTCTCCCTTCACTGAGGGATCTACCTTTGCTCTCCCACCACTGGGACCCTCCGCTCTTTCTCTGAGAAGGCAAGGCTGGGCTGGGCTGGGCTGAGCAGGGCAGGGTTCTGCGCAGAGCCAGAGGTACAAGGGGCTGCCTGTGAGATAGTGAACTCCATCCCAAGTGTGCCAGCTAATTGAGGCTGCTGAGGAAGGGACACCTGGGCCATGTGGGACTGGATAGTCATCTCTAGGACTGGGGGTGATTGGGACACCTGTGTGCATCTCCAGGAGGTGAGATGGCAGCTGGGCCAAATAGGCATGAAGAGTGGGTGGGCAGCGCATACCTGTTTGTGGAGTCCTCGCTGGAGGAGGTGGTCCTGTCAGATGCATATGCACACCCCCAGCAGAAGGTGGCCGTGTACAGGGCTCTGCGGGCTGCATTGGCAGGTGCGTGGGAAGGGGGGCATATGGAAAGGAAGAGCTGGCCTGGGGCCTTTTGAGGGCGAGGCCGAGGCCCCAGGTCCTTCATTTGGTGGGCCTGGCTTTAGCCACCCTTAGGAAAAAGATTTGGTGGGGGTGGAGGGGTTGGGAAGGGAGACCCTTGGCTGTGTAGGTTCTGTCTTCTCTGCTGACAGCATGTATGACCTTGAGTGTGGACATGTGTCCGCATGTCTGTGTAGGATCTACCTGTTTGTGCACTAACTTCCCCCTGTTCGTCCCTACCCTCACCCCCAGAAAAGCCGGCTCACTCCTTTCTACTAATTGCGCATCTCTCTCTCTCTCCTCTTTTCCTCTCTCACTGCAGCACTTCTTGTCCAAGACCCCTCCCCAGTACCTACCCTTCCGGGTCACCCTTTCCCATCTCAGGGCAGAGGCCACAGGAGGCCGAAGCCGGTTGGGTGATCCATCCCCGGCCCCAGAGCGGCGAGAGTCCCTCTCCTTCTCCTGGGAAGGGAGCCGCACTTGGAGGCTGAAGACCTGAGACCTCTCTCCCCTCCTCTGCCCCGCTGGCCGCCTACCCAGATGGCTTGGGCTCAGGGCACACGCCCTTTCCCTGTGCTGCAGAGTCCCTCCCTTTTGCCTATCCTCATTTGGGGCTTCAGGAATGGAGCGCTCCCTGTGATAGGTCCTAGCTTTTCTGGGTTGTTGCTGTTTGCATTCCAGTTTTGTTTCCCAACTGGATACTCTGGGGTAACCCTGCACCCCAGGTCAGGGGATGGGGACGGGGTGTGACCACGGGCTTCGCCCCTGCTCTGGCCGCTTGGAAAACGGCCTCGCTTGGGGACTGGCAGGCGCCTGATTGCCCGCCTCCACAGAGAGCAGCGGAAGCCCGGAGGAGCTGCAGATGCTCAAGATCCACCGTGGCGACCCGCAGCTGATTGTGCAGTTGCGTTTCTGCGGGCGCCAGCTCTGCTGCCGCTTCCTCCGCGCCTACCGCGAGGGGGCGCTACGCGGCGCGCTGCAGAGGTGCTTGGCTGCAGCACTCGCCCAGCCCTCGCTTCAGCTGCAACTGGAGCTGCGCGCCGGCGCGGAGCAGCTGGACTCTTTGCTGACGGACGAAGAGCGCTGTTTGAGTTGCATCTTAGCCCAGAAGGTGCGGCTGGCCAGGGTCAGGATGGGCTAGGGTGGGAACTCGCGGCTAAGACCCCTTCTGAAGGCGCACTCCCTTCCCTAGCCGGACAGACTGCGGGATGAGGAACTCGCTGAGCTGGAGGATGCGCTCCAGAATCTGACTTTCGGCTCCGGGGGCCAGGGTGGCGACGTGGAGGTCTCTCCGGCCCCCTTGCAGTCCCTGGTCTCCTCTCCGTCGGAGAAGCCGCCGCCACCGTCTGGCCATACTTTTCTATTCCAGGGTCAGCCCGTAGGTGAGGCGCGCGGAGAAGCAGGATAACCAGGAGGATGGAGTTTGGGGGTGGAGCGAAGTCTGGGCTGGAGGGAGAGCGGGGAGGAATGGGAGAACATCGGCTCTGGGGTTCCCCGTGCTCACCGCTCTTTAATACTCCCCCTGCAGTGAACCGGCCGCTGAGCCTGCAGGACCAACAGACGTTCGCGCGCTCCGTGGGCCTCAAATGGCGCAAGGTGGGGCGCTCACTGCAGCGCGGCTGTCGGGCGCTGCGGGACCCAGCGCTCGACTCGCTGGCCTATGAGTACGAGCGCGAAGGGCTGTACGAGCAGGCCTTCCAGCTGCTGCGGCGCTTTGTGCAGGCCGAGGGCCGCCGCGCCACGCTGCAGCGCCTGGTGGAGGCGCTCGAGGAGAACGAGCTCACTAGTTTGGCAGAGGACTTGCTAGGCCTGGCCGATCCCGATGGAGGCCTGGCTTAGACCTGGTCCCAGAGAAAGGGGCGGTCGGCCAGGTGCCCAGCGTGGGTCTGGAGCACCTGGATGACCCTAGGACCCCTTCTGGTGCTACTGCCTACCGCTTATACATCCATGGGACTCTGAGACCACACTTACAACCACACTTTGTCTGCTGGAGCTGCTGGGGCAGAGTTGACTGCCTTCCCCAGGAGCCAGACAAGCACCCACCAAGTTCGCTGGGGGTGTACTACTGCGGATTCTGCCCCAGATACTTACAGTGTGTGGGTGACATGCTGCGGAGGTTAGCCTCACCCTCTGCCACCCCAGAAGAGGGGCTTCTGGCGAGCCCTCACCTCTTCACTCATCGAACAATTACTCATTAAGCACCTGGACGTTTGGTATTCTAGGCATTATCCTGGGTGCTGCAAATACTGTGGTGAACAAGATCCTGCCTGCCCCCACCTCAGACTCAGTGTGGAACCCTGGATATTAAGCAACGGTAATAAAGTGTAACCCTTTTTTCTGATGTGAGAAATACAAGGAGTTGTGGGAACATTGAGGAGGGACCTAACCCAAGCTGGGGGTTAGGCTTCCTGGAAGAGGTAAGAGTAGGGGTGGGGGTTAGAAGGTGAGAGAAGGGCAATGTTTTGGGCACAGGCAGCCTCAGGTGAGGTCCTGAGGAAGGTGAGAGGGAGAGATATCAGAAGAACACAGTTTAGAATGCTGGATCTGGGGGTGGGCGGATTTGCTGAGGCCACTTGGTGAGTTGGCGAGGCAGATAGCATGGGGTCTGGCAAGCCATTTTATGGAGTCTGGATTTTATAATGAGGCCAGTGAGGGGCCTTTGAAGAGTTTCAGGAGTTTAAAACTGGGAAGCTAATGAGGATGGGGGGTGGGGTGGGTATGGTGGCCCAGGCTGGGGCAGTGGCAGCAGAGATGGAGGAAAGGGGATGAATGGCAAAAGATGTTTAGGAGGAAAAATAACAGGCCTGGTGACACTGGATGAGGAGGAGGTGAGAGAGGACCCTGGAATTTTTGCCTTTGTTAGTTGGGTCGAGGGTGAGGCTGCCTGCTGGGATGGAGCCCTGGGGGGATGTTAAATGCTTGCATTGTTGGGACAAGATGGGTATGATGTTTGTGCAGGACATCCAGGGAGAGAGTGTGGGGGCAGCTGGGTATAAAGTTCTGAGTTTAGGAGAAGAGTCAAGGCTACAGATTCATGAATGGACAGGTGGGAATGGGTGAGATTGCCCAGGGGGAGATCCTGAAGGACACCAACTAGAAAAGGAGCTACCCAAAGAGGAAGGAGGAAAAGCAGGGCATTTGGAAGCCAGGGGAATACCCACTTGCTGTGATAGAGGCACCTGATCAGTCAATACTGAGCAGTGTCCATTGGACTCAGTAAAAAAGGTTACTAGGTGTGGGTGGCCCAAGGCCATAACACAGGAGTGAGTGGGAGGTGAGGCAGTGGAGAAAGGCAAAGAGGACTCCTGATGAGTCTGAGAACAGGAAAGAATGAGGCTCAGGCTGGAGGGTTTGCTTTTTTTTTTTTTTTTTCCTAAAAGGCTCCGAACCCATGGTCTTGGTGTTATCAGCACGGCACTCTCCTGAGTGAGCCATGGGCCAGCCCTGGAGGGTTTACTTTTTAAGCGAGACAGTGGTGGGAAGAAGTCTTCAGTAGGAGCAGTTGCCAGAAGCAGCAGAAAGAACCCTTACCCATAGCCCCTGGGAAGAGGATGGTGCTGGGTAGCACTGCTGGTTCCAGCAGCCTAGGTTCTCAGAGACCTTATGTGTGTGTTGGGGGGAGGTTGTCTTCTCCAGGCTCTACCACATGGGCGGGGATCTGGAGACCCTGAGTTCCAGAAAAGAGAGCTGTCAGCAGAGCTGGGCAAGGACTGAACCCTCAATCTCCAGAGCATCTCTCTGCCTCCCTGGGTCCCAGATCAAACCCGTACCAAAGGCCTCCAGGAGCACCCCCAAGCTGTACCAATCCCTGCCAGCCCAATCTGGCCTGCAGCAGTGCAGACATGGTCATTTCTACCTATGGGAGGCTATGCTGGGGACCTTGGGGCTCAGAATTGGACCTGAGCCTGGACTTAGACCCATTAGCCTCAGATGTGTTTGTCTTTGTTTAAAGCAGACAGGGATGGTCCCCTGTCCTGTATCCTAGTGTATGGATGAGAGGGCAAGGAAGGACAGAGAAAATAATTCTGGACTGAATTCCAGAAGACCTGGGGGCAGTACTTTTTGCCTGTGTGATCCTGGGCAAGTCGTTTAACTTGGGCCTGAACAATGAGAACTGCTGGCAGGGTTGTTGTGAGAATTGGATGCGCTGGCTTGTTTGCACGTGCGCGCGCGTGTACTTGTGTGTGTGTGTGTGTCTGCGTGTGTGTGTATACTGCAGGGAATAGCAGAACCAGGAGTAAGGAGGCAGCCGTGTGTTCCGGGGGTGGTTTAGGGCGTTGCCTGGTGGAACTAAGGCCTGCTGAGGAGAGGCGCTCCAAAGCATAGGACGGGATAGTGGCCAGGTCGATGCCTAAGACGCTTGGCTCCAGGGATTTGGACCCGTAGGCTTAGGGGCTACTGGTAGCCTAGGCCCCGCCCTATTCCGGAGAGGTGGAGGTGGGAGTCAACCAGAGAAGTTGATACTTCTTACCAACCCCAGGAAAGGCGGATTTTGGAAGCCTGAGACAGCATCGAGACCGTCTTGCCAGCGAGTCTCCCGTGAGGAGGATCCCACTCAGAGATTAGTTCCCACTCCGAAACGGCGCTCTCGGCTCCGGGGCGGAGCTGAGCTCCAGATGTCCGGGCGCGCACAGCTGGAGGGTCACGTGGCACGGCCCCAGCCCCCCCCTTCCTGCCAACGCTGCATTTGGCCCAGGCCCCGTCCATGGCTGCCCTTGGGACTCTGCACTGAGCCCCGGAGGCCCCCGGCGTCCGCGCCGCTCCCGAGGGCCGAGTGTGAGTGTCAAGATCCCAGGGACCGACGTTGGGGGGCGGGGGCCAAGAGGGGGAAAGGTAGAAGGGATTCGGTATCAGCGTGGGGGGGTGGGCGGGGATGGGGTCGAGGCTCCGAGTCTCCCTGCTGGTCTTTGGGGCACTGTCCTGGGCCGGAGCTGGGGGCGAGGAGGAGTGTTTGGCTACAAGGGGGAACTTCTTGTCCCTTCAGGCTGCCCGTTCCGGCGGGTGCGTCCCCGAGTAGGACGACAAGAGGGGGATGAACAGCCCGTAGCTGGAGACCCCCGGGGCGTGGCCTCCCGCCCCTCCTCTCGGAGAGGGCGGGCCTGGGAGCCCCTGCCCTCTGCCCGCTACTGCCTCGGGGCCCCCCCCCCCCCCCGATTGCGACTCTTAGAAGGGAGGGCGGGCAGGCCACGCGGACATGAGGCGGCGGATGCGCCTACGCCGGGACGCGTCGCTCACGCTGCTCCTCGGCACCGCCCTCGGCTTCCTACTGTATGCACAGCGCGACGGCGCGGCCCCGACGACGAGCGCGCCGCCAGCGCGCGTGAGGGCGGCACCAAGGCCCACCTCCGGGCCCCGCGCGTTCCAGGTACCGGACGCGGGTGCAGCCCTACCAGCCTACGAAGAAGACATACCAGCGCCACCAACGCCCACAGGACCCTTTGACTTCGGCCGCTACCTGCGCGCCAAGGACCAGCGGCGCTTCCCGCTCCTCATTAACCAGCCGCACAAGTGCCGCGGTGACGGTGCACCCGGCGGCCGACCCGATCTGCTCATCGCTGTCAAGTCAGTGGCGGCCGACTTCGAGAGACGCCAAGCCGTGCGCCAGACGTGGGGCGCTGAGGGTCGCGTGCAGGGGGCGCTCGTGCGCCGTGTGTTCTTGCTGGGCGTGCCGAGGGGCGCAGGCACAGACGCTGCAGACGGGGAGGGGGCGGGCACGCGAACGCACTGGCGCGCCCTACTTGGTGCTGAGAGCCGTGCATTCGCGGACATCCTGCTCTGGGCCTTCGACGACACTTTTTTCAATCTAACCCTCAAGGAGATCCACTTTCTGGCCTGGGCCTCCGCCTTCTGCCCCGACGTGCGGTTTGTTTTTAAGGGCGACGCCGATGTGTTCGTGCACGTGGGAAACTTGCTGGAGTTCCTAGCGCCTCGGGATCCGGGGCAGGACCTCCTTGCGGGTGACGTGATTATACATGCGCGGCCAATCCGCACACGCGCCAGCAAATACTATATCCCCGAGGCTGTGTACGGCCTGCCCTCGTATCCGGCCTATGCGGGAGGTGGAGGCTTTGTGCTTTCCGGGGCCACCCTGCGCCGTCTGACCCGCGCCTGCGCGCAGGTTGAGCTCTTCCCCATCGACGATGTCTTTCTGGGCATGTGTCTGCAGCGCCTGCGACTCACACCTGAGCCTCACCCCGCTTTCCGCACCTTTGGCATCTCCCAGCCTTCAGCGGCGCCACATCTGCGCACCTTCGACCCCTGCTTTTATCGCGAGCTGGTTGTAGTGCATGGGCTCTCGGCTGCTGACATCTGGCTTATGTGGCGTCTGCTGAACGGGCCACATGGGCCAGCCTGTGCACATTCACAGCCTGTAGCCGCAGGACCCTTCCAGTGGGACTCCTAGCTACCCATCACAGCCCCCAGCTTGTCTCCCAGCTCCTCACTTGGTCCCAGGATGGGGCCAGAGTAAGGGATTTCCCAGGCAAATTATTGTGGTGTTGTATGTGGTTCTTCCCCAGATCACTGGGTGTCTGCCACCACAGAGTCCCAGGGAAAGATTGTGCTTGACTCCTGCTGGCCCACCCAACCTGGAGACGGTCTGGAACCCGTGTAATGGGGACCCTTATAGCCAGGGTTAAGGTGGTGGACCATCTCTTGCTCAACAGGCCCAGAGCGGTGGGCATGTATTTGCTCCTAGTATCAGGAACAAGTACATGTGTTTGGGTAGGGGTGACAGAGGCCGATGGAATCCCTCCACACTCCTTGGTTTGGACCCGGTAGGATGATGCAGACACATGCAGGAAGTCTCCTTCTCAAGGCCAGGCCCCCCAGGGAGGCATGGTGGGGCCAGGCCTCATCCTTTATGGATCTGGCAGGCATTGTGTCACAACTCAACCTGAAAGTAGACATTTTGCTTTCCACGTGCCCTTTCAAATTGGATTCCCAGCCTTGTCCAGATCTTTAGATATTGCCCTTCTACAGTCTGCTTTCCTGAAGCCAACCCCTCCTCGGCCCTGGTATGGCTGGAACACATACAGGGACAACTGAATGCATGGCCCTACCTAGTCTTATTTTTCTTCAACTTTTTTGACAGCTGGATGGTTAGGGGAATGAAACCCTTGACCTTGGTGTTACAAGACTGTGCTCTAACCAAATGAGCTAACCAGCCAGTACCCCATACCTAGTCTTTCCCAACATCCTACACCCACACAGTGATGCCAATCTCCTACTGGAGGCTGTACCATCCCCTTCAGAGGAGCCAAGGAACATCTTCCACTAAGGCTCTTCCACTATAAATTTCCCCATATTCTTCACCCCCTTCCTCAAAAAACCAACATCCCCACACTTATTTTAGTACAAACATCCCAGCAACAGCATATGGGCGGGCTGTTGCTGAGGACACAGATGCTTTATTAGAGAGGGGATTTGGGCAGGGGATGAGGAAGGTTCCCTCATTCCATGAAGATGGGAACAGTCCTGGCTGCCCCTGACAGTGAGATGCGCAGGGGTCTGTGGCCAGGCCACAGTCCAAATGGGAAGACACCAGTCAATCACAAAGTTATGGATGTGCCACACAAGCCTGGCTGAAGACCCAGGAACCCAGGACAGGTCTCCTGCACATTCATCATTAAACTATACAGGATGAGGCTGTACATGAGTTAATTACAAAAGAGTCATATTTACAAAAATCTGTACACACATTTGAAAAACTCACAAAATTGTCATCTATGTATCACAAGTTGCTAGACCAAAATATTAAAAATGGGATAAAATTATACATTTCTCTTCTCAATTCTTTTCAAAAGGATTAATATTTTTAAAGCACATATATGCTACTTTCCATTAGCAAGACCCATGAAGAGACCAAGCAGCCCAGCCTTCCTTGAGCCCCCAGAGGCCTTTGAGCCATGAATAGGCCTGGCCAGGGGACAGTGCTCAGGGTTGGGGCAGGGAGCCAGCCCACAGTGCAGAACAGAATGCTGAAACACAACAAAAGGAGTAAGATGTCTTTGGCTAAAACTTTGGCATTAAATAAAAGAGGCAAACAGGATGGAAACATGCAGCACAGCCCTGTCAGGTTGGGGCAGAGAGGGGGCACAGGCAACCTTGAAAGCTGTCTTCAGGGATGTAGGAACCAGGCCTGGGCACGTATCTTGTTAGTAGAAAGCTGTGTTTCAACCAGTTGGGTGTGCCTACTGGGCCTGGCAGAGAGCACGGGCAAGAAAGAACAAGGAAAGGCAGGTGGCCACCTTGGCCACAGCCAGCTCATCAAGTAATTAAAGTTGATGTAGTGCAAATGTTGCAACCAAGTACTATAGACATGCTACCTGCTTGCCCTAAGGGTCACATGGCAATGTGGGGCCAAAGGCAGGACTTTATCTTCATCTTGGGTGCCTGTGTCTTCAGCCACAGAAAGAGCCCCAAGTTTTCCCAATGTGTGTGGGATAGCAGTTGACGTGTCCTGCCTCCTTCCGTGTTAGTCGAGAGCTCTTGGGTCCAGATATCAAGGCTCAAAGTTTGTGCTTCTCTTTGTAGTCTGTGTTCCCTGCTGTCACCAGCAGGCTGAGGACGGACAGGGGAGTATCTGGGCCCCTCACTCCACAGCAGAGCACTCAGCCTGAGCCCCACGTCAAAACATCACAATAGCCCTTGAACACTGGCAAGGTGTCCAAGACAACCCACAGGGTGGCACACAAGGGCCCGCTTAGCAGGAGGTGATGCACAGTTCCATGGGGTAGAGGGGGATGGGAGGTGGTGTCCCTAGGGAAGCTCCACTGTTCTCAGGTGGGCACCAGGTCTGGGGGGGCCATACAGGGTCACCGAGGCAATGTGGTTGTTCTGCATGACCTGGTGTGAGAAGAGGATGGTGGGTCAAGGGGGAGGGGTAGAAGAGATGTAGACAGATCCTGTGCACGGGGCTTGGAGGCTGGTGTATGTGACACACCTGCACACAGGATTGGGCTTCTTGACCCCTCGACCTCCCCAACTCATGCTAGGGGCCACCGCTGCTCAAGGATCTACCTGTCCTCATGGTATACACAGCCTTTCTCACACCCATTTGTTCAGTCCTTCTGGAACTGCTGAAGGTATGGCATCCAGAGGGAAAACAGGAGCCGCCCATCCTTCTCCCAGGTCAGCAGGGCCTCAAGAGCCACTCACCCACAGTACATTCATTCGCATGGCACTCAAGGATTCCTAACACACCTGGGCCAGGCCCCACCTTCCTTGTCCTTCCCTTCCCTGCTATGGGCATGTTTTCAGATATAAACATGGGATCCCTTTTACCTCTCATTTTCGTCGGTTTATACACCACTGCTTTGGCCTCCATAACCCCTGATTTCACCAACACCATTTCTGAGCCCTCACCTGCTATGTGTAGGCAGGCCAGGTACTCAGCAGATAGGGTTGCTGGGGAAGGATTAATCTGCCCAGCATGACAGTTAGGCTCTCCCCAAATTCCCTCAACCACTTGCCTATCCCTACCATGACTAACAATCTACAGCTTATTTCTAGGCTCTCCAGGACTTACCTCAAAGATCATCCGCTGAAGACCAAAGCAGAATGTGGAGCCAAATGGGTTGGTGTTGTTTGGGGAAGAGGACCTGAGACCAGAGAAGCCAAAATTAAGAGGGGCAGACAGAAGCCAAGGCCAAGCAGGGCATCCAGTCTGTTTTGGGATATGAGCTATTGGCAAGCTATTTCTCATGGGTTTGAATATATGGCCCTAGGTGTAGGGATGGCTTCGCTTAACTCAGAATCCTACATAGCCCAACAGAGCACAGAAAGATACTGGGGTGGTGAGAGGTCAGGAGGCCCTTTCAAGTGAGAAGTGAGAGGGAGCCTCAGGTAGTATGGCAACCAGTAATGTATCTGTGAACTATAATAAGTAGCAGCTTTGGTGAGAAAAAAAGAGCCCAGGACAGCCAGTCAAGACTTCCTCCCTTTCTTATAACTAGGGGTGAGAGGGATACCATACCTGGAGGAAGGGTGGGGAGAGGGGAGCTATCCCCACGAGCAACTTCTCTGTCACAGGTAAACATGAAGAACAGTGGACCCAGTCCTAATGTGCAGGGTGGAGTAGGAAGTATGTTTGTGGCAACACCAGAAACTTCTGTAATTTTTAAGCAATACCCACTGCCAGGTTCCCCTGGGCATTCTGGGCTGTGAGGAGCAGGATGGGGTGGTCAGAGACAGTAACCTCCCACTCACCTGTGTAGGACAACGGGCTTCTCCACAGGATGGCCCAGGAGCTCTTGGATGTTATCCCACTGCAAGAGGGACAGGGGGTAACAGGGTTTAGCATGGACCTGAAAATGCCTGTGAACAATGTTCTAGACTGCTGGCAGGCTCATACCCACCTCATTGTCAGATAGGAAAATAGCAGCTCACCTTGCTGTAGGTTGTGCATGTTTCTGTCTGACCATCTGCGTTTTCTGAAAAAGAGAACATGGGGTGGGTTGGTAGCTGGTCCAGCCCACTATGGCCCTAGCCCTAAACAGAATTGAGACCTGGCCACCTTTTGTACTAGGGATGCAGTACGTAGGGAGGACAGTTTGTTTTGGAATTCCAGGGTGGAAGAGGATGGAGGGGTGAAAGGAGGTCAGTCAGGTGCAAGCTCCAGTGGGCAGTGGGTAGTAGGTACCAAGACTGTGCTGAGGGCACCTGAATGACCATCTGTAGATAAGAAACTCTCCCCTCCCAAGGCCAGCAATCCCAATCATAGGAAAAGGTCTTGAAGGCCTCCAGGAGACTCCACACCAAGAACAAGGCAGCCTCCAGAACAAGGAGCCCATCCCAGAGGAGCTGAGGCTATGGCTCAGGTGGGCAGAGGCTCCACAAACCTGACCACTACCACCTCTCTGCTTGGATCATTCTCCCTTTTCACAGTGGGAAACTAACTCCACAACCTCCTCCTTACCCTGAGGGCACACACTACTCACCTTTTTTTGTAGCTAGTGGGATCTTGAACTCACAGCGGTGATAACTGGAGAGAAGGCAGATGTGTAAAGGTTAGGTATCTTGGGAGGCTTGACAACTCCCACATCCCAACCCTGTACCCAGGAAAAACAATCAAACACACCTGCCCAAAGCCCTGGCTCTGTGCCCCTGACACAGCATTCACTGGGGGAGGCCAGATTTAGGCACTGAAGTTAAACAGAAAACAGTATGGCCCTGGGGTCTGAAGAGCCCATCACCTTGGTTAGGACAGCAAGCTTTCTGAACCTGTTTCTCTACTTGTAAAATAGGTACAAAGTGGAGAGATGTAAGGCACTGGACACTGTGCCAAGAACACAGAACACTCAGTAAATGTTCACTTCCCATGCAACTGTAGGAATTCAGGTGTAGATAAATTAGTGAACGCCCAAAGCCACATGCTCTCTTTCCTGGGGTTTTTCAGCCCAAAGCTCACTTTTCAGAGGGGCAGGTACAGGTGTACTCACATGTTAAAATTATAATGCCCAGGGTAATTGGTGTGTAGGACAAACTTCTTCACTTTGTGTGTATTTGCATCAAAGAGGATGTCCTGGAATAAAAAACAAAGGTGCTCAAGTGGGAAATGTTATTGAGGCAGGGAAGGGCCTTTACAAGGGCATGTGCAACTTGGAGACTCTTACTCCAAATGGGATGCCTGCAAGCAACAGCCTTCTCCCAAACAACAGTCAAGGGGACAGTTAGGGCCAAGCAGCCTTAACTGGACATTTTTGGTGTGGGGGGACCCAACCATCCACAGACTTGGAAGGTAAAGGGGCTGCAACTGCCACTGCTTGGGAACTAAAACATGTAAGGGAGATCTTTCCTGCAAATGACACTTAATAAAAAAATCTAACAGTACAGATTTTGGCTCAATAGCTATCAAGAAGATTTAAGGGCCACCTAACCCTTGAGGGGCTCAAGGTACCTGGCCATTCTGAATGCCATGACCTACCAGACCCTCCTGGCTTCCATTAAACCCTCTATGGGAGTTGGCAACCACTGGAATTGGAATTCCAGCCTGCCCTCTCACCAGAACTTGGACCTCCTATCCCCCACTCCCTTCTCAGCTTCATATCCTGCCAGCTGCTCGGGCCTGTGACCCAAGGGTTACCTCTGACTCTACCCCTGTACCAAAGGCCAACTAAGTCTTATTAAGGCTGGGCCATTTTCTCTGTCTTCCTTGCCACCTACCATCACTGGCCCTTGAACTCAGCGGTCCAACTGCAACATCACCATTCCCTTCTGCCACCATGCTACCTTCAGAAGTTACCCACTGGTCTCACAGTGGCTCCCCTACTACTCCTGGCTCATGTTTGGTCTTTTCCATGTAAGCAGATTCAGTCTCTCCTTTCTCTCTCTCTGGAATCTACCCTTTGCTGCCTCAGGACCTCAGACCCTGGAAGTCTCAAAGGTCAGATGACCAATGGTCCAGGCCCATCCTGCCCTCTGAGATGTTCCCTGCTGGTGCATTGTTTACATACTCCTTTCTCATAGATGCATCCTACCCACCAGCTGAACACCCAAAGCCACATGCTCTCTTTCCTGGGATTTTTCAGCCCCAAGACTGCACTGATGGTGCCACCAGCTTCATCCAGCACCCTAGGTCCAGAGCACAGGGCTGCAGCAATGCCTCTAGGGTGGTCCTCTAAACATACGCATGCACACTCCCATTGTCTCTAAGCCTTTTCAATCTCCTTATTTTGTGACTCCAAAATAAGGTCTTCTGCTCTACAAAGTGCAGTTCCCCAAACAGCTTAACATGAATGATTTCTACAGCTTCCATTTGTGGAGCATGTTTCCC